ATCACTTCTACTAGTGGGTGATCAAGAGGCAGAACGAGCCAGGGTCCCCCAACAAGACTGTCACCATTCAGACCAGCAACAGCGGCAACAATGGAAATGGATGCTTTGCTACTGCGAGCGAGGTATGCTGGATCGACCTGCATTCATTCATTTGCTTGTTGGTTGACGCAGACGCGGACAGGATTCGGATGTACCAGTCGTTTATACCAAGCAGGCGTTCATCATCGAACTTGTTGCACGCAAAGACAATACTTATACGTGAGAATCCGACTCAGTACTCAGGAACCTATTTTGCTAATTTAACGACTCGCATATACAGTATGCACTACACTCTCGGGAGCTCGGACCTGGTGCTGTCCATTCCGAGTTCGAGCAACAGTGCAGTAAGTTGATGAATATTTTTTCCAAGCCTTTTGCTCATCACGTCCGACACAAGGTGAAAATCGAGAATCACGACTCAGGAACTTCCCGCCAGCAGTGGGAATTAACTCGTCTTTCTAATCTCGCCCCAATCGTTTAGTTGTCACCACTAGGTACCACCGTGACCTTGCAGTGTTCAAAGTCGAGCACTGAGCTATTGGAAATGTTCTCGCATATGTGTACTAGTACTACGTCTCGTGTCTGCTTCCGTCGGTTATGTGTATGTTGATGAATAGGATTGCTTTGGTCTGGCTCTCTTAGGGAGATAAGTGGATATTTAAAATGGCCATCAGTGCCAGTAAATCATTGTTCGAGCATGCAGGCAAACGCAGATCTCGCAAAAAATGCGCAGTATATGATCACCGGTACCACCCATCGATGTATCATTGTTGCATATATGTCTCAGTTATATTCGATACGTTGGAATGAATGAATAATATGTTTGGCCATCTACGCCCCGTGATGTGAGCTCAGATACCAACCATACAAAAACCAAGTAATCAAAGCCTGCATGATTGCGAACTGTCCGGCAATGAGTGGGAGTAACCGATGAATGGAGATTGTGTAAGAGATGATGAAGGCCGAGCATTGAGTGCACGGACACGCAGTTTGTACACTCTGCAGATGACCCACGAGCCGAATACTTCGCATATCATATGCCATCGTACTGTGCTAACCATGACAACAGTCTAGCACCATCGTCGTACTACAAGGCTGCGGAGACGCCCACATTGTCAGATATTGGAGTGTTGCTCAGGACCTTAGTACTAGTGAGACCCTGCAGTATACCTGGTGATGGCCCATGACTAGGACTCGTCAGCGAAAAGGTAACATGACTGTGAGGTGTTGCAGCTGCTGATGCGATTGACCGTGGCTGCTGGCGAAGAAATAATTGACGCATTCGAAGTAGCGACAGGTTCCTGTCTTGAGAATCCAGAAGTTGGAGTGTGAAGGCGAGAATTGTAGTGGAGATTTCGCAACATGGCACTTTTTCTCGAGTGACGTCACTACAGAAAATGTATGTACTCAACTTTCGGTATTCAAAAGAGACGGTGGCTGTCGACTTGGCTGCCTATGTGCTGCATGAAGTTAGCTCTCAGCACCATGATGTCGCAATGATATGATGCTTCTTGTAGTATCGGTATGAATTAATTGGAATGATGGTGCCAACGTTACATCCGGCATTTTCCTGATACGCCCTGAGTTTTACATAATTAGGGTTAGAGATTCAACGTTTCAACATCAACCAAGACTCGCTAGTGCACTTGCAAGTTGCGAGTGTCTCAATTGTCAAATGTAAGTTTTGAGAGTGAGCCTAGTATCTTTGCCACGTGTGTCGGTGAAACTGACAATGATCGACATTGACAGAATAAATTTGGAAGTTTGGATCGGCTTTCAAACCATGTGGACGACCGATTCGAGCCGATCAAGCCCTTTGTTCCTTACACCCGCATTTAACGTTCACAAATTCTTACTGGGCACAATCACCACCACAGCCAGCAATAGCCATGTCTAGTGGAAGCATCGCAGTCCCAACTCCGAAGAAACGTCGCACTTACGTACGAGAGCTTCAAGAATCTGAAAGTGTACCAGGAAAATGCCTTTTTCCGACACTTCCGCTCGAGCTCCTTGCAGAAATATTGATCCAAACTAATTCTCCTCGCGATGTTTTATCTGTCGCTCGCACATCCAAGCTTTTGTGTTCGACACTTGTCTGTAATCCCGCTGCCGACTTCATCTGGCGCACCGTTCGCAAGAATTGCTTGCCTCACCCACTGCCTGATCCCACCCCAAACTTTAGCGAGGCGGCATATGCCGCATTCGTGTATGATGGAGGGCCTTGTGATGTGAGCAAGAATCCCTTCGTCTGAGCGGAAATAATATGGACTGACGGTAATGTGATCGGTTTATGCAGGGGTGTAAGGAAGACACAAAAGAATTCTATGCGAGCTTTGCTACACGATTTCGTTTGTGTCGTAACGTGAGTGATGACTTTCCAACTTCTTGCAATGTGTATTGAGCAGTATCATCGTACTATAATAGTCGCGTTGCAGGACGGGCGTCAGGTGGGAGATGTCTCAGCTGAGTGAATGAATTTGGTTATTAATTACCTTGTTGCAGGAAACATTTTATGGATGTTACCACTATTTTCAAAGGTCGTGCACGTGAGGAGATATGGGTTCCTTACGTGGAGTCCACTCATTGCTTCGGTAACTACATTCCAGTTTCCGAACATCCTCATATTTAATCATAACTTTTCAGATCCAAACCTCGACAGTACATGTATGATTTTCTCCGCACGTTCCTCGAATCTCTTGTGCTTAACTGAAGTTGCAGGGCCCGAGAATCCCACCATATTGATGAAGAAATCCGATTGGGAGCGTTTTCGAGCCGAGTATGCAGCGTTCTCAGCTCTATCTCCACTTCCGTCTGAGGGGCTGCGGAAGGTTGGATGAGGACACCTCTGCATCGCTAGGAATTATCTGACATAATTATCTAGGCGTGCACTGATCAAATCGCGAAATTTCCCAAGGTCATGGAGGTGTGTGTTTTTTGCAAGAGTCTGAGTTAAATGTGACTGGTAGTTCAGTTAGCAGTTGCGTTACAGAAGTGGAAGAGCACCTATGTCACTATGCACAGCACCATCAAGACCAAAAACGAACAGTGGCAAGTAGGACTTAACTAACCATCACAACAGAGCCTAACGGAAATGTAGGGCGAGGGCACTTGCTGCCCAGGAAGGCTGGAATGATCATGATTTGCTTAACTCTCAATCCTATGGTTCATTGCACAGGCACAAGAATCATGTGTTGGAGGAAGTCACGCTACGTGGTATGCGAATTCGGTCAGGCTCATATGGACGAATCATTGTCTTACCTAGTGCCGTCCTTTCAGATTTCCTTCCAATGAAACCCCTTATCGAAGCTCAACTTTTGAAAATCCAAACACACCGCCAAAATCAAGAGAACGAAGCGTCTTACCGCCAGCGTCGCAACGACGTCGAACAATACTACAATCGCCTACGGTCCGCTGGAACAGTTGTCCCATCGCTTTATGAGTTCCGCAAACTCTCGGTTATGACGACTATGCAGGGGAGCGTAACAGGTTCAAGGCCCAATTCCAATGGCCTTGCAAAGGACATGAAGAATTCGGCCCTCGTCGCGGAGCTCGTCGCAGCTGATTTGAAGACGTGGATGGCGTCTGCACGGGAAAAACTATCCGAATTACTTGGGTTTCCCAAGTGGAGAAGTGCGAGCAAGACGAAGTTGCATCCACTAGATAGGATCACTGCGCGGTTTATGTGCCAGGGATGTGGGAAGGTCGCAAAGCGGTATGAGAAGGAACGATGTCTCGATTTTGCAGGCGTCTGCGCACACGAATGTCCCAGTAATAACAAGAAAGATAGGAAACAAGTGGATTGGAGTGTCGATCGCTTCGTAAAAGATGACAAGGTTCGTGCTTGATAACCCTCCGACAAAAAATCAGCTCAAGTATACTGTCCTCCTATGTCCCATTACATTCACAGGCATCAAATGCAGTTGCACGCCTTCTGACGCTCGTCGGAATCACCGACGAGGATACGAGCGCATGTAATACTGTCAAGGTGCTTGGAGCACGCATTCGGTGTCTTTCTTGTGAACATGCATTCATCATCATGGACTTCCCCACCCTCGTTAGTCACTCTTCTTTTTTTTTCATCTTGTTTATTGAGGAAAGCTCAATACTGCTACGCGTAGATTGGTCACTCACACCGGCATGATAACATGCAGATGGCTATACTACCCGAAGGAGAAGGGCCAGAGTATCCCTTTGAGGCGGGGTTGTCTGCGAGACTTATGAACATGGGGTCTAAGCCACAGAAGTTGAGGAGCGAGCCGAACTATCGGTGTCGTCATTGCATTCCAGCCAGCAAATCAGCCGATGCTGGCATAGATGGGGAGGGGCAGGTCTCTACTGAGGAATCTATTGCGAAGGAGTCACACACGGAGGACTCACAAACGGGGAACCGCCAGAGAAACAGGAAGAGCAAACTCAGGTCAATGAACTTCAACGCGCTTCGCTCGCATTTGAAAGAAGTGTGAGTGGTTTCGTGAATGGCTCTCGTGAATGGCTCATCTCACTTTTTGCAGACACAAAATAGAGATGGTGAGCGACGAGGATTTCTTCGTTCAAACTCCCGCGAAGTAGCGGAGCTAAGAAGCCCAAACGAGGGGCGATCTGTATCATATCTATTCATTCTTTGCTTCAATCTATTTGATGTATTATTATGAATTAATCGGCTAGAAAGTCATTTACCCAATCAAGGGGAGCGGTGTCTGCTACGGCAGAAAAGTGATCCGGATCTTCGTGGAAAGACGTCGCGATAAACCATTGTCATTCCCGCTCGAAATTATCAGTGAATCGCGCGAAACTAATCCTCGACTCCCTAGGACGGCCTGTACATATACATGTTATCCTCACATGGCCTCGAGGTGGATTCCTTGTAAGTAGCAGACAGGCAGACAGGCCTGACTGCCACGAGACTTCAAGAAGTTTCGATCGAACCGAGGCCGTTAAGGACCTCAAGTACGCGTTTCACTCTATTGTCTGACTTCGTCGCTGAGTGCACCCTCTAGACCTATCCCGACGCCGTCCTTTCCACCAAGGATGAAACCACCATCGAATCCCGTGCCTACGACGTCAAACACACTGACATCGGCGTGTCGCAGGTACGCATTCGCAAGCTCTGGTGAAACGATGCCGATGAGCGAACGTAAGAGTGGAGTAGGGATACGCTGCCGAGGCCGAGAGAACAACTCCAGATTCGAATCATCTCGCTGAGTGTAAGACTGGGGATGGTCGCCAGTCAGGAGCGAAAAAAGTGTAGTTTTCCCGGAACCTGTCATAGCTGATCAGAATCCTAGAGCATCGGTTTCGTGCAAATGTTCACGCACCATTTGCGCCTTGAAGATGCCAGCGCTGGCCTTCACGGATGGTCCAATTGATATTTTTGAGCACCTGGATCGAAACAGCGTCATTGACACGGAAACAGTGAAGAACAGTGTAGTGGACCCTATGATACGTTTACGTTCTTCATGTCAACTACTGGCTTTCCATGATCAAGGCCAGACTGCAGATATGACTGAGTGGTGCTTGCCATACTATGCCCCGCTTCCTTTGCGTTTGCGTGATGTTCCGCATGCTTGGACATGATTTCATCTTTGATACCTGTCAGGATAGTTTCGCCCGTCACTAGAGCGATGTGCGAAATCCAGTCAGGAACAGGGTCCTGGATCCAGAGACCCATGATGACGTGTGGACTGCGAGACTCATGCAGTGACCGCAGGATAAAGTACACCCATTATAATTTACGTTCGTCGCATTTAAGTTCAATCACTCACTTAAAGGTTCGTCGAGTACGAGGAGCTCTGGTTCAGACAAAATAGCCTTCACAATGCGTGCTCGACGCGTCTGGCCAGTTGATAAAGCTATCAAAGGTAGATCCAACGGGGAGGAAAGACCTAGTCTCGAAGTTAGGTCCCTAAAGATGCCCCTCTTCACTTCGTCCTGTGCAATTTCAACGGGAGTCTTCACCTTTCCACCTTTCGGCTGGATATTTAGAAAGTCGTACTCTCCAAGCATACTTTCTCGAAGGGTGATACGATCTTCTTCTTTGACTCCGCGGGACCGATGCGCGAATGATACAAAAGCCACACAGTTGTGTGGGTCGCGTGGAGGGTCTGAGAGGAAAGGAGTAGTCCTCCAGGTAAGAGTAGAGGAGGGGTTATGCGTAGGTGACCTAGGAGTGTCTAAAGCGCAATCTGAATTGGTCAATGTAAACACTTCAGAATATCTGCATGACGCACCTGCCAAAGGGCTATCTTTTGCTTCGAGCCAGTCCTTATATCACAGCCCAGCTCTCACCCTCGTCAATAGTCCGTTCAACATCACGGAAGACCGGCGCTGCGAAGTTTGGGTCATCAAAGCGATAAATGTTGGACCGTGAAATCTGGACGATAGACTTGGTGCCTCTGTTTGCTGCTGCACGATCACTGTAAAGTGTAGATACCACATCAGAAGGGTATGACCTGATCACTCACCTAGTAGCTTGTTAGAAAGGCGCTTGCCAAGAATCTTCAATCTTGTAAAGAACGAGTTCTCGGTGAGTGACAACTTATTCGAATTCGGTGGTGCTTCTATTGATGTGAAAATTCTCGCATCTCACATTATTATCTCTATATCAACTCCTTGTTCTCCAACATGAGCAGCACGACCTATAGTTCTCCTGTAACTCACTAGGAATAGCACGCTAATACCTTTCATCTACCTTGGGAGACGTTTTCATTTTCCTTAATTTCGCCACCTACTTGTTTCTCACTAGTACGGAGTCCGGATTAAATCAAATTTTATTCAAATAAGTTAGGATCACGTGCGCGTGTTGATGGGAACGCGTTGTCGGAGTCGAACTGTAGGCCACATCAATCCATATCTGACGCATCAGATTCATCAATGGTCCACAACATTTGCGCCACACTGGTCAACCAGATATAAGGTAGGCAATCATTTCTGTCGTCTTCTTAATTCTTCCCCCTCACCAATTCCGCTCGTAACATTCAATCAGCGTAATCATTGACACTGAACGTCTAGTGTCATGTCCCCTGCAGGCGAGACTGGCACTTTGTCTACACCTCCACGCGCCAATGCACCAGCTTCAGGTGCTAGCAAAATAGAATCCACACCAAACAGCCGTGGGGCTTCCGTCGTCAGCGAGCACATCGGCGTGCTCGGTGTCAAGTGCGCACATTTCCTGTCGTAACTCGTTATTGAGTAGAATCTGACATTCCATCAAGGGTCAAGAAAATCCGCCCATGGATTCAACGCGATATTGAGCAGGTTAAGGAGTGCAAGGCAGATGCCATGCTGCAAGCCCTCCTGCAGCGCGCTTCTTCCGCTCCCGAGACCGAACAGCCCGAGCTTTTGCAAAAGTGCTTCAATGCAGTTCTGCCGGTTTGCAATGGACAGGCCTCCACTGCGTTGGTAAAGTCTTCTGATATTGAGACAGCCCTCAGCGAATAGTGAGTGCTCGCTCTTGAGTTCGCTGATCCGACGTTCTGATGCTCACAATAATTGCAAGCGTACTTCCAGGAGTAGAAAACAACTTCTACGGCCCTTTCGTAAAAGCTACCAACATTGCTCTCGCTTGTCTTGAGGAGATCAAGGTCGACGGGATGCGTGTTCCTGTCCCCACGGTGGACATGATCTGCCAGCAGAACGACATGCCCATGCACCAAACCCACCAGACCGTGACATCAACTCGGAAGCCCGACCTCGTGATTCTTCCTTTGAATAGCGCATGCGCTTCCTTCCAGGATGAGAAGGGCAGCAAAAAGCGCAAACAAAAGGATGACAAAAAGGATGATGAGAAGGACGAAACGAACCAAGAAACGAACGAGAAGAACGACGGCGAGCAGCGCAAGAAGAAGCGCAAGGCTCACATGGACACGAATGCAACGGCAAAGCCGCACAAGCTCCCCTGGAAAGATGTTCTAGCTTGCATCGAGTTCAAGAGAAAGACGAAAGGGATTGAAGGAACCCCCCTCTTCGTATACATTGACAGACTATGCCCCTACCAAGCCAGAATATCTGCCAGTCGATCATCTTAGGGCTCCAGGCCCAGCTCCAGACCCTTCTCAGACCTCAGCAACACGAACTGCGTCCGACACTGCATGTAAGTGATGATATCTGCGATTCTAAGATCGAACTAAATTGGCCAAGCTGCAGCTCGATCTTCCGGCCTTACTGCTACCCAGCCTTCCCTGGGCGAGTCCAGCTCCAAGCGCAAGGCCACAGACACTTTGGAATCCGCCAGCGAAAAAATCCAAGGGGAACCACGACGACAGAGACGCTGACGCGTACGGACGTGGATGCTGATCTAGATGTGACCGTTCAGACGGGTCTGTACGCCGCCGAAATGTTTGCAGCGAATCTTGCAGTCAACTATCTGCTTAATATTATTGTCATCGGTGAGTTCGTTCGTCTGTTGAGATTGGCTGCGCTTTTGTTAAAACTTTTTCAGACGATGTCGCGTGGATCTGGTATTATGATCGACAAGGGATCATTCAATGCTCAGGCATCAACTTCATTCAAGATCTCCCGCGATTCATGGTGCTGCTGTATGCTTTACAACGATTCGAGCTTCACGATTGGGGCCGAAACAAGGACCTCCTCCCGGTCCAAGTCGATGAGAAACTATGCCACGAATTCAGAATCAAGGATGAAAAACTTGGAGAGGTGGATTTGCTGCTTCACACCAGTCACGACGAAAGAGTGACGCACTACGGACTGCAAGGACGGGCCACCAACGTGGTCCCTGTCACTAGCGAAGCGCTCACGAAGAAATACGGCAAGTTCGAGGATGGGATGGTGGCCAAGATCTTTTGGGGAGAGGCGAGTCGCACTAGCGAGCCGGAGATCCTGAAAAAGGTTGAGGAGATCGCTAAGAGGCACACAACTGTCCAAGACCACGTTCTGAGCTCCTTTGGCACCACACGTTCACAAATCCCACGTCCGCAATGCGAGAAGCGCTTGACGTTCCGGAACCCACTACGGGCAGTCGCGTGCTCTACATTCTTGTGTTCCGCAAGCTCTTCCCCATCACTCAGCTTCACGACAAAGAGCTTTTCGACGTATGGCGTCAATGCATCCTATGTACGCGTTTGATTTAATTTACGTGGCTCTCATTGACATGGCGTGTAGGTCACCTCACTCTTTGGAAGGAAGGGGTTTATCATCGAGACGTCAGCCCTGGAAATCTGATGTGGTACTGGAAAAACGGCAAGCGGATAGGCGTTTTAAACGACTACGATCTATCCTCGTTGGCGGACGACCCAGGTCCTCGAGGCAACGAGCGCACAGGCACAGTGCCGTTCATGGCGCTCGATCTTCTCACCGAAGAGGGTCAACGAGGTGAAGTCAAACACGTATATCGTCATGATCTGGAGTCGTTCATGTGGTGCTTCGCCTGGATCTCCTTGCGTTATGAGAAAGGAGTCCCTCTACGACGGAGATTGCGCCCCTTGGATGAATGGGCGACTCTAGACGCTGTAACATGTGGCGAAAAGAAGTACTATTTTCAGGGTCATATGAAGAAACTTCCCGCACGCTCCCACATAGACTCGTCTCTATGGGCGTTCCTTGTAGACTGTTTTAAGGTGCTTAAAAGGGATGCCGACGACCGATACTATCTTAGCCTTGAATGGTCATCGAGCTCAGGAGAAGGCAAGCAATCCAACGCTCAGGACCCAGATCCCGATGCCTTTCTATCTAGATTTACAAGTTTAGAGGGTTGGACTAAGCTCAGCGAGCCTGAGTGATTTTCTTTACTTGTACATACCCAATATGCGATTCTCTGCGTATTGATACTCGCAACTTTCAATTGTAGATTCACAATACAAGCGATCGACTGTTCACTAGCACTTCCCATAGACTCGTGCGTGAATGCTGAGAGGGAGTCAATATCTCAATCGAACAAGTACGATGTATCCAAACCCAAATCCAGGCTCAGAGTTGCAACTTGAATGATGGAATGCGACATGTAGACGGTGTTTCGACCAAGTCGTGCCACATCTGTCTTCTTTCTGCGGACCATGACACGAACGTCGGACTACCTTCGATTCTAAGAGTATAAATCAAAAAATCAAAATTCTTAGAAGAACTTCTGAGGGGACTCGGAGTATCATGATTGATTGAGCACAGAACGAGTGCGAAACAAGATTGATGTGGTAGACAGCAGAGTCCCCCTCACCATGAAAAACATGAACTATCTGATGCGGTGCTATTTATCTTACTTCTGACACATTGACAAGGTACTATAGCTAGAGTATAGATGAATCTTACTACTTACTACAAGTTAACGGTGTCCAGTTTACCGTTTTAAGTAAATCGATTTTCACAAATAAGTCAGGGTCACGTGCGCGTGTTGATGGGAACGCGTTTCAAATTTCAAAATCAATACTTGTCCATTATACCGTACATTCCAAGCTCGTGGTTTCACGTTTCACGTCTGGCTACCCGTGCTTTACTTCCACAACCTAGATGATGTCTTGTTGCACTTCAGAAGTCAAGAGGACCCAGACAGTGCCAAGCATCATTGCCCTCTCGAGGCCATTGACGGACCAGTACGGACAAAACCTTGCAAGTCACCTTTTGAAACAATCTTCCGCTTCCGCTTTCGCAAAAAATGATTCATGGTACACCCACCGCCGTCTTTCGGGAGTTTCCAGCCAGCCACGCATTTAAATTTAAAGATTGCAGGTCTGTCTGCCCGATCTTATTACATAAGCGTTGAAGTTTTACTACTACTGTATAGCTACGCACTTAAGTTCGTCACACCATCACAGGGCGAGCGAACCGAACCTATTTCGTGTGACAGTCACACTCAAATTGAGGTCATCGAACTTAAGTTGTGACATGCGGTAAAAACACGAAAACATGCAGTAAAAACACGAAAAAAGTCCTAGTGCTGCCAAAAGTCCTTATACTGAGTATTTGCAACGCGTCTGCGCTTGCCGCGACCCTCAACATCAACCTCCTTCGAACCGTCAGTGGTCATGGCTGTAAATTCAGGCTCTGTATCATCTGGTGCTCGTTCATAGCTCTCCGACTCATTGTCCGCCAGCAGATTACCCAATCCATCAGCGCTGTAGCCATCAGGGATTGATAATTCATGCCGAACGGAATTGAACTTGCAAACGAAGCTCCGAGGGGTGAGCGCTAGCGATGGAGTCTCCAGGTTGAGCGCGGGCATCTCTACGCTCGTACAAAGAAAGGAATACGTCTGCCTAATGAGACTCCCAGCCCAGTCGGTCGTCTCACACAACGAACCTATGCGCAGCATGTCACACGTCACACACCCCTTCGAACTTTCGAACCTAATGTTCATTTGGTCACACCCATATCAGGTCGAACTTAAGTGCGTAGCTATACAGTAGTAGCTGCCTGACGAGGCTTTGCTCTCTTTTTCTTTAGGTCACTGCAGCTCTTCAGTACCTCGGGATGTCAATGTGTAGTAGTCAAGAGGCTAATACCAACGCCCGGGGATAAAATGCTAAAAGCGGGTCTCCTACTGCTGTCGCTGTTATTTTTGTGCATACAGCATCCATCTAGAACGCCAGCGGGTCCCAGTGACGGAACTTCTCTGCCGAGGGCAAGACCAACAATTCTCAGGCGCATCCTTCATGCTATTGATGTACCTAATGCAGAGAACCGGTCTCAAGCATAGTTTGTCATGTTTGCTGTGTCGACGACTCTCAAATTTATTATTTCAAACATGACATGCGGAACTGCGGTTTCAGATCCATTTGTGGGCATCTGTCGCATAAGAGCCACGCCTGGTTGTCGATTAATCCTCCTCCTTTGCCTCCCAATTTACCTCTCGTGGTCTTCTGTCTGCCCTGCTTCCACTGCCCGTCTCCTCTAGCTGCATCGGTATATGGTTAGTTTCTTTCCTTTCATTGCGCTTCTCAATCTTCGGCATCACAGTCTGGTGAGATGTTTATCAAAAAACTCGCCAGCACGCGTCCCCACGTTCAGTAGCAGACAGGCAGTCAGGCTTGACTGCCACGAGACCTCAAGAAGTTTCGATCGAACTGAACGGTTGTCGGCATGTTTCAAAACCGAACTGGCATAGGGCCTCTAGGAGTAATAAATCGATTTCAAATATGTTATCGCACCTGACTGGTTGCGAAGAGACCTCGTTCAGCGCCGGTGATATAAGGTGTGAGGTACACATTTCCTCCTCTTTGTGGGAGTTAGGGATTGTGTTATCAGAATTTGTTCTTCATATGAGTGCAGAAGGCTTCGACATGAGTGAACTCGACGAAATTAATAAAATGAGGGGTTTGACATAGATGATCTACAATGACAATCCAACCATCAGTTGTCGTTGCGCTTCACAACGCCAGTACCGGAAGGTATAATCAAATTGCATATGGTGCGAGCCCTAGTGTGCCTAAGATTTGAGGATGCGTTCAACTACTTCCTGTGCAGCCAGCACCAAACCGTCGTTGTATATGCGGCCGACGATCTGCAGCGATGCAGGAGCCCCTTTGAATTTCGTTGCATCGTCTGTATGCAAGGGTCAGCTGATGTTATCCAACACGAGAAGGAGAGACTAACAAAGAGAGAGGTTATACTCATCCGCCGCGCTCATAGGGCTGGGTGGTTCCTGATATATGTCAATGGCTGGGTCAGCGACGAAACCTGACGGGAAAGCCGTCCCAGGGTAGTCGAGCAAATTCCAGATGGCAGTGTAGCTGATGAGCTATTAGAGTCTGATATCAAGCGAGAGACTATGACGCACCCCCAGTATTTTGCAGTGTCATGACGGCTGGCTGTACCTGGGAAGGGTGGACAAAGGACGACATCGACATTTTGGGACCACCAGTGATCAGAGTATTCCCTCCTGTATTTATCACGTTCATCACGCAGCTGATTAAGGTCAGCACAAGCGTCTATGAGCATCAAAATGTTGTCTTACCTTCCAAACTTCTGAGGCATCATGATCTCTCACGTGTGGTGGACTGATGACCCACTCTGTCAGGGGAAGTATCTCTTCTCCACTCTCCTTCAGAATGCGTCGAACTGTGGCTCCTCCATCCTCATAGTAGAGCTCGCGCTAGACACAGGTGAGTGACAGCATTGCACTACAGATCACCAGACTCACAACTATGCTGTATCCACGATCGTGGTCATATGGAGTATAGTCCACCACCTCAACCTCTGACGAGGCTTCCAGCTTTTCCTTTGCCCACTTCAATGCTCGAATGATTGGGGGATGGGGCATCACAACTCCGTCGTGCATCATGATTCCCACACGCAGTTTCTTCTTGGTCAGGTCTGGTATTTTTAGTGGCACTGGCAACACATCTGGGTCCAGGAGTGCAGGGTTGGCTCCAAGGACAGCTTCAAGGAAAAGTCGCATATCTCGCGCTGAGCGACACATTGGACCTACAGAACTAAAGAATCCGTCCTGGCCAGGTTGACTGGGCGATGTCAACATGATTTCATGACAGAGCTTGGTATACTTACTACCATAGGACCCCATGGAGAGGCGTCGTCCGACAGGATGGACGGAACCCATATATACCACAATGGGCCGACGGGGCTCGAATGGATCCTCCGCCATCACTTAATTGGCAATGCGTCAAATTCTGGTGTGATATGGAAGAACGCAGACTTACGTGCCCACACCTATGCAAGAGCCCTTCATGGCAACAAGGGCTGATTCACCACCAGATGATCCTCCTGCCGTAAGATCCGTATTGTAGGGATTCAACTATGAGACTTGAGAAATGTGTGTTTTTACTCGAGAGATTACTTACTACTCGGCCGTAGGTAGACCTGGACTCAAGGTGCATCAAAGTCTGCGGCTGATTCGTCTTGACGTAGAAGACTGCAGCTCTGCTCAACTAACAGAATATAATCTCAGGCATAAATTGCATACCTGCCCCAAGTGAACGCAGAATTCTTGTCATATCACAGTCTTCAGTCGCAGTCTCGATGTTCATGAGGAAGCCTGCAGACCCAACTGTCCCTTTGACCGGAAGCATGCCCTGAGGGCGATCATCTGAGATAGATCATCGCGATTTGTTCGATCTGCACTTACTTTGATTGAAATTGGCAATCCATGCAGTGGCCCGATGACCTTGCCTTCTTTCCGGAAGTACTCGTCCAGCTGTTGCGCCTGTTTTATGCCTTCATCGAGGAAGAAATCGATGAGACAGGCTGTGAGCTGATGAGCGATAGCTGCACGTTTTCCAAATGCAGTGACAGCATCAACTGCAGTCAGCTCGCCTACGGCGATCTTTTGGCACACGGACGTTGCATCCAGCTCGGTAATGGCCAGCTCTTTGGGCGTGAGCAAGCCACAAGTCTCGGGAATGCGAGTAACATTAAGAGGTGGGTCCTCGAGAATTGCTAGTGGAAGTCTGAGACTCGCTGGAATCTTGGCTTCAAGTTGTTCCCGGAAGATGCGAGCTTTTGCCTCGTATAACGCATGACCGCCTACGCCTTTGATTTTCTCTTTAAATGAAACTGTAGTCATTGTTAAGAGGGAGATAGTGCAGATATGATTCAGGCTTGATTGTGATATATGTACGATCTCGCACCTGAGAGAAACTGTCAGATACGCATAAGTATCCTTCTATGTGGGCGCATGACATGTCTCGTGCCCGCAACGATAACAAAATGAAGGTCAGAGAACTAAGAACTAGACTTGTGATCAGCTGCATTAAACGATGATAGGGGGCAGGTATTATAATTAGAGTGTAATACCATTCGATAGCCTTCAATTGGCGCGTGGTCGCGGTGCCCGGGCCATGCCCATGCTAATTAGTAACGGACAGTGCACTTCGGCCGCATTCGAAAACGGTCTTGTGGATGGTTCTCGTGATCTGATCTGGGCTAGCAAACAGGCTTGGCTGTACAGATAAGCTGTTATATGATTCATGATGGTGACAGCAAGTTTCTTTCAGTGGCATGATGAACGAAGATTTGTAAGAGATTGCACGGTCTGCCGCGATGTCACATCGCTTGAAAATGAGTTAAAGCCGAGTATTTCTGCGGTCAGGGCCCGGGTCCATGCATAGTATGACTGTAGTATAAGTCATATATCAATGATAGACTCAAAGTCGATAGTCACATGAACAGATGTCAATTCAATTACTTACTAATAGCAATAAGTTACGGGCCTACGGCAAGCCGCAAACAGTCACATTAGTAGTGACTCCGGTCCCAAGTGGTTCAGTTGTACGTCTACTTTATCGTCGTCTACGTCCCGCTGCAGCAATGTTTGGCAAAGCAAACTTACCACCAGGCCTCGTTGTCGCAATCCCAGCTAGCGCCACCTCAACGGGGAAAATGGGGTGTGATGGCACGCTCGTATGCGATACATGTAATGAGCTGTCACTGCCTTGTGTGGAGCAAGTCGGATCCTGCCAGGTCGATTTACTAGTGACCTGGATATGCAGTCTCCACCAAGACGAGTACACAGCGTTCAACGTTGCCACGAAATTTTGGGAAAGGAATTGATTGTAAATGCACTGTATCAACGTCATGATCGCGCTCCTCTACATGCAACCATGAGAGAATGCGCACACCACCAAAATCAAAACCATCTCGTAGACCTTATCGAATAAATTGGGATATCAGCTTCATACTGAAGCTTAAGCCACACCAGGTCTACATGAAACCCAGGCTGAAATGGTGTAATGATGGTTTGCCCTTTGGGTTAGAGCGAGAGTTAGAATTTACGGAGTGAAAAGGTAAAAAGGAAGTGGCTAGATAGCAGGACTGTGATACAGCAGACTGTCGGCTTTCATATGAAACGAAGTGACTTCGTCCTAAGGTGGAGAGGAAATACGTGTGCGAAGTAGTGGCACTCACCATGACTTCCTTGATAGACGATAGCTCCGCCCTGGGTACTGATACTATTGGCATACTACTCTGCCTGCATATATCCTGCAATGTTGACGGCATCGAGTTGGAACATGTTGAAGGGCCATAACCTAGTCCTTACGTATAGGAACATTTGCACAGCACTGGTACCTGAGCGCTGAGCGCTTGATCTACACAGCAATAAGCTGAAACGAACACGAGGATTGCACATGGGACGAACCTTAAAAGACGAAGTGAACCAACGGGTGCCTAACTTCCTTAACTCCCAACCAGACGCCCTCTGATAGCCGGTGAGGGATCGTCTAAATGGTATTGCCCGTAAGTGATAATATGGGCTTTTCCACAGGATACAACTGACCAGATGCTTGCCAGCCACTTTGAATACCCACAAAAATCTCTTGCACATTCCGGTATTTCCGCAGCACTTCCTCCGTAGACAGTTCCGAAGTTGGAGTTCTGGGTAAAGAGCGGACCTGTAAGTGGGCTGTCTTATTAGCAATTACTTGCATGCTCTGACAAGTAAGGTGGCAAAGACAGGACTCACCAGCAATTATTCCTGTTGCCGGATAACCCGACCTGATTTCAAGATCCTACCTCTCTCGCATACATAGTCCCCAATCTGCCGTAGTTGAGATACTGAGCGCTAATCATGTCTTCCTCCAGTAAGACGCGAGCGATCGCGCCTTGTCATACGTTGCGAGGTCATACCAACTGGGTAAACGGTGTTGTACATCTGCATGCCGGACAACAGATCATCACATGTTCGACGGACGGCTTATTCCGACTATGGGACCTAGAAAGCGGCACACAGATGGGAGAGGGCTGGATAGATGAGGATAATATAGGAGTGTGGTGCATGGCATTGTCTCCAAACGGCAAGACAATTGCAGTTGGATGCGATGACGGGAAAGTGAAGTTATGGGACGTGGAGACGAGGAAGGTTATCGCCAACTGGGCAGGACACACTGATGTTGTGGGTGCACTGTGCTGGAGTGGAGATGGTAATCGAGTGTTGAGTGGATCTTGGGATGGGACGGCAAGAGTCTGGGAAGTCAAGCTTGTCAAGAGCAACCAAACTGTCCTGACAATCAAAACTGGGCACAAGTGGGTGTGCACGGTGATATATTCACCCGATGCAACGAAAATTGCAACGGGTGGAGACGACGAGAATGCAGTCAAAATCTGGGATGGCAAGACAGGCGAGTTGCTTAACACGCTCAAACATGACTTTATAGTTCGGAGCTTGGTCTGGACGTCGGACGGAAAGAAACTTATATCTGGTTCATATGATCCAATTAGGATATACGACACAGCCACCTGGCAGGAGATTGCCAATCTGGGAGGTCGCACACTCTTGGTCAACGCCATCACTTTGTCTCAGAACGACCGCCTTCTATGTGCATCAGACCATAAAACAGTGCGTCTATGGAACATCGACACAAATTTGCAAGTCAGTCTATCCCTCCAGCACGAAGATGTTGTACGCTGCGCAGCCCTTTCCGCTGATGGAAAGCTGCTAGTGACTAGTTGCCAAAACAAAAATGTGTACACATGGGACATTCACGCCATCCTAAAAGAAGCTGGCCTTGAAGACCTCCTCCAACCTTTATCTGATGTAAAGCTCATGGATCTCCACTCCAAATTATGCTAATCTCCCCCTCACAGGTCCCAGCTGGAAAGTCGGTGATGAACGTATGTGACGTGTTTCTTGGCCTTTCCAATCAATTTAAGATCGTCACCCTAGATCGATGCTACCCGGAACCCACATATCCAGGTCCGTCGAATACCGCTAGCCTTTTTCGATGGCGTACAAAATGGCGCTCAGGCGAGTCATCTGCTTTTTGACCTGTTCTTGTTCTAACCTATGTACTCTCAGTCCTCTGCAGCACACGGTACCCATCATTGTTCTCCCGCCAGCAGTACTCGAGCACCCCTTCTCGAACGCTTATCATCCCTCTTCCACCACTCTCACTGCAATACCGATGGTGCAACCGAACTTCAGCAACGCCCAAGGCGGTCCATATTCTCTCGTGGTCCTCGCATTGTCGATGTTGCTACAGTACAGGACAGAAAGGTATTTAATTCATTCATTTGCAATCACATTGGTTTAATGATTTCTGTTCAGGCATTGTATGTTGCTCCGCGGCCACGACCGCAGCAGCAAAGGCCGTTGCATGGCCAGGGCTCGTCGCAATCTCAGCCTACCGCCACCACAACATCTACCACAGCTGCTCAAGGTACTAGCACTGCCGCATCAGGTGCAGCAACTGCGCCGTCACCACCTATCCCATTGTGGGTTCGTTTTGTACTGTTTCTTTGTTGCGTATCTCCCCCGTACGTCAATGGTCATTAATATAGGAGCAGTATATGTACAATCGTTTTATCTTTCACGTCTTCTGCTATTCCGTCAATCTTGTTTCCTCGTCATGAGACTCGTGCTATCATGCTAACAGTCCTAACAAGAACATTATATTCATTCTCAAGCTCAGAGCCCTGGCACGTGACAGGCATGCGAGGCAGCAGTACGTGAAAATAGATCGAAAGCTGAGCGCTGAAGGGTGGAACTACCACTTGTGAGGTGACCCTTCATCGTAAAACGATTTTCTCAGACCCGTTCTGTGTCTCACTTCGCAACAATGTTTTGAAATATCAGTGTTCTGTTCCAACATTTTCATCAGCGGTAGAGCGCAACTATGATTGAAGCATGCCTTGACATATGTGATCTCGATTCTTGTGCGTATTATAATAAGGCGCCATGTGACTTGTTGCAGGTGGTTGTCGATATTTGACGATGAACGGAATAGGTTGGAACCAAGATCACTAGTTTTTGGTGACGGCGTGGTTATGATTTGGGGTTGGTTTGGGATGACGTGTTTTCTATCGCCATATAGTGCAAATAGCTGCAAGTATTCTACTGAGTACTAGATCTCCCAATGATCATTGATGACGGAAATGGATCCTTGAAAAGGGCATCCAAAGAACTGAACTACAAGGAGCATATCATAATTAACGAAGATCCACGTCCGATAATACTGCCATCATACGTCAATGCATGGACCAGCCATCCATCCTAATGGTATCACACTGCACCTCCTTCAAACTTACAACTTCATGAGCCCCTTCATCGCATTCGCGACCGCAAAGCTCGACTTGGCCATGACCTGCCGCGATTCCTTCGTGACTTCTGGCAGCGTCTGTACCTCGGATAGCTTCCGTGCGTGTTCGCCTAGCTCCCGCAGTAGCTCTGCACCCTGCTGCGCGGATGCAGGGGGTAGGTTGTCGCTGCAAACGGCGACAATACTCGACACGATCGTAATGATCTGAGTGAGGTTTTCGTTTAACGTCGGCGGCGGTACAGGGCTGCGGACGCCGGAAAGGACGCTTTGAATCGCGTAAACGATGGACTCGGTCTGCGCCTCGAGGTAGGGCTGGAAAGTGATATCTGTGAGTCGACCAAACAAATAGATGTGCTAGTAGAGCTGACCTTGAGCTCGGACCAAGCGTCCTCACCGCTTTCAGGCGCTGTTGAATCGTCGCTGATTGCACCCAACGCATGATTGACAGGAGACTTGTCAAATATAGGTGGAGGAGAGCTTGTGAGTGAACTAGATGGCTCAGACGGTGTTCGTCTGCTATGAGCCTCTGCAAAGCGCGATGCTGCGGTCATAGGGGGCGATACAACATCTTCCGATCGTCTCGTGCTAAAGGTAGAACCCTTGCGTTCAAAACTTGGTCTCACGTCTTCCGTCGAGCGCGCAGAAGATAGGTACGACAGCGAACCAGAGGAAGACATGAACTCCTCCTGCTCGGCCCGACTAGCCTTGCGGATGTATATCATTTTCGCGATCTCCGTCAATGTTACGGAGACGTGGCTCGCGGCTGCGTCCAATAGGCTCACAGGAGACATGCCGGATGCAGTAGCATGTGTCTTTGATGCAGCTACAAGGTTAGTCAGGGTAGCCTCGGCGCGCTCACGGAGAGTGTGTAGGATATCGACGTCAACGTCCGCGCGGGATGGGCGTTGTTCGTATGCACGAACGTCATCGATGATGGCTGTGGTAGACGTGACAACGGCTTTCATCGGCACTAGAACGCGTGTCGGAGCACTGGAACGACCAGCTGTCAAAAGACTATCGATGGCGGACACAAACGCAGTGACGTGGATATCGACGAGACCCCCATCAGGGCCCATTGGCAGTTGGTCTTCCATCTTGGGCGCTTGTAGGAACAGCTGGGATGTTGCTGACCATCAAAATATCAGATAAGTGCCAAATGCATCAGAAGGATATCTTTGCGGACCTTTGACGCTTCTAAGCTCGGTTTTGGCTTGTTCGTACTTGCGTTTGTATTCTTTGAGCTGGCTGTCCAGATCACGGATCACAGTGAGATCCGAATCCTTCGCAGTCATTAACTCGTCATTCCTGCGGGACAGATCGCTAAGTTCTGACATCAACCCTTCCATATCAGCACGTAGCTGCTCGATAATTTCACTGTTGTCCTGCAAAAAGATGTCAAATTTAGCACGTCAAATTCAAATCACCGACGTACTATCCCAAAGCCAGAACTCCGCTCTTCTTCGAGGCGTTCGCAGCGGTCACGCAGTATCTGCAGTTCTTCCTCGTCGGCCTGTGCTCGTCTAGCTTCGCGTTCCTTCTCTCTGGCCCGGAGGTCCCGAATATCGTCCAGCTCCCTTTGCAGAGACTTCATAGCGGATCCATGCTCTTCAGCACGCTGTAGGTTCAACTTAGCGACTATCAGAAGAAGATATCCTCAAAACCTACCTTTCGGAAAACTTCCAGCTCCTCTTCTAAACGGCGCACCGTCTGCCGCGTATCTAGCTCCCGTTGCTCAAGGTCTCGTTCCAGACTTGTAATACGACTCTGCATCGTGGCGATCTTGAACTCGTAATCTCGTCTCAAACGCTCTTGTTCATCGCCCGCTGCACTGGGCATCCTCGATCCGCCGATGGACCGATCGGACGTTACTGATGCACGTCCCAGAGAGACTTTATCATATTCGTCGCTCCTCACATCCCCCAGGTCATCATCTTCAGTATGCACATTCCTCAGCCGTGCGCTGAGCCCGCTTAGTCCACCTCGCTGGTCCCAGTGCTCGTGTTCACCGTCGGTGGTATCAAACTCCCTGACGCCGTCACGTGTATCGACGGCTGTTCCAGAGCTCTCCCGCATCTCCCGCCCATACGGCACTTCAATATCTTCTTCTGCGATGGTGCTCTTATTTGGGATTACCATCCCGCTCGTCGCGGTTGCACTCTGCGCATTTGTAGTTCCCGTCGAGTCGCTCCGGATACTTGCGGAGCCACTTGGTCTTCGGCCAAAATCTGCTCCTTGGTCTTGAGAGGCTTTTCGTCTGGACGCATGGGTGTCCTCGCTCCGTCGAGGCTCTTCTTCGCGTGCGCTGCCTCGATCTTCGGATGGTCTCCCTGTGCGGGTACTGGGTGGAAGTATGGGCATGTCAGGCCGCGGAGACGTGTGGAATTCGGGCGAGGGTACATCGTCGTATGCTGATGCGGGAGACGCTACCCCTGGGTCTTCCACCTGAACCCAGGCTTAGTATAGATTAAATAACGATGAACGATGAAAATACCTACCTCTGTAAATTCAGGATATCTTCTCATGATTTCAAAGTAGACATCGCTACAAAGATCTTCAAACTTGGCGGGAGGCAACGTTGCCAATTTTTGGCGCGCCTGATTCCGCTTGGGATGAAATTCATCACGGACGGGAAGGAATGGGACTGGAAAAACGACTTGGTCAAATGGTATTATATAGGTCAGGTGACTTACCGTCGTTCTCGGGAGTGTTCCTTCGACGTCGGACGAGTTCGTCGTACACATCAGTTGACAGCTCATGGAACTGCTGTCTGGTAAGATTGGTCAATTTTGAGCGTGCGTGGGCCCGCGATTCCTGCGGAGCTGAAGGCACGTGGTATCACCATAACATTGAAATCCACATGAAACTCCATAACACACCTTTCACAAGATAGGACACTAGAAAACTGGCTAACTCGTCAAAATGCGTGCGTGCGACCACCCTGGAATTTACGGCTGGCACAGCCGGGACATTTCCTTTATCCTTGATCGGACGATAGGACTCGGTGCGGTAATTAGAGATTCCGGAAAAAGTAGTAGGTGTCGGGGAGGGGGCACGTGAGGAGCGTAGTCGGTTCATGTTGACTCGTTGATGGTGGTGGTCAGAGCCTCAGAGGCATACAGTGTCAACACCTGTGCTGAGTTTGCCAGACGTGTTGGAAGTTGTTCGCAATGCTCAAGCCTCATTGTATCTCGGCGCCACGTGATCGGCACAATGTGCGCGCTTATGTCTCGGGCAGTGACCGTGACAATAACTATCTGAAGACATACTAGTATATGTAAATGGGTGAAACAACTATGGGTGGTGCATCATGATATATGCTGCCCTTTGCTGATTTGCGAGATTTGCAGTTGATCTGCGCACCCTGGACCTCGAACGATTCCGAGTCGCCGATGGCCGCGGCCGCTATCTTTTACCTAGCACCCCCACTCAATGATCCCTAAGAGAGCCACACCAAAGCAATCTTATTCATCAACGTACACATACACAACGGAAGCAGATACAACAAGACGCAGTACATGTATGCGGGAACGCTTTCAATAACTCAGCACTCAACCTTGAACACCTCTACGAGGTCACGGTACCTAGTGGCGACGACTAACCAATTGGCTTGAGATCAGAAATACGGGCTAATTCCCACTGCTGGCGGGAAGTTCCTGGGGCGCAATTTTCGAATTTCACCTTGTGAACGTTATGAGCAGAAGGTTTCGAAAAAAAGATCCACCAGCTTACTGCACTGTTGTTCGCGCTCGGAATGGATAGCACCAGGTTCTCATTCCCGAGAGTGAAGCCAATACGGTACATCGGGGTCGTTAAATTAGTAGAAATAGGTTCCCGAGCACTGAATCGAATTCTCACCTATAAGTATCGTCCCCGCGTCCAACAAGATCGACGATAAACACCTGCCTGGTATAAACGACTGGTACATCCGAATCCTGCTCACGTCCGCGATCAACAAGCAAATGAATAAATGCATACAAATCCTGCATACCTCTCTCAAAGGAGCAAAGCATCTATTTCCATTGTTGTTGCTGTTGCTGTACTGAATGCTGACAGGTTTGTTGGGGGATCCTGGTTCGTTTTGTCTCTTGATCACCCACAAGTAGACGTGATGTGTGCGATGGCAACCGGTCACAAGGGTGCAAACGCGTATTGTAGCCACCGTGTGCAGAAGGCAAGAAAATGTTCATGCATCAGTAAAGAAATCCGGTAAACTCTTGAAAATGCTGAATTGCCTGAAAAGCTGGACTTGAGCAAAATGAGACTAGACACATAAATATTTGTGACAAGCTGTATAATGAACTTGGTTATAAGTCATGCAGCCACTTACCTGCACTTACGATGACAAGCTATAGTTCGATATACATGTCATTGACAACTCAAGAAGCCAAAGCATCCGACTAAGTAGGAACACGTGATCCCCGTTCGGCGGACTTAAGTTCCCGGACTCCATGATCTTAACGTAGTCGGAGTATCAAAAGCCCAAATCCCTGACTTCCTGGACGTGTCTAAACTTAAGGCTTGGCTTGGTGTTGCGCATCATGTCGTTAAAAGTACCAAAGGCCAACAACGTCGAGCTCTTTAAGAATGGCTACAAGGTATTCTTTTATACTCCCGATCTTCGCTTACAACGGCTGATATAATTCTTGCAGCACCTCCAGGGTCTCGAGGATGCCGTCCTTCGAAACATCCAGGCAATTTCAGAGTTATCCGATCTCGTACGGACAAGCTTTGGACCAAATGGTACGTATATTACACTTATAATACATCTATCCTGACTCTTTGTCAGGTCGTAATAAATTAATAATCAATCATCTTGGCCGACTTTTCGTAACATCCGATGCCGCTACCATCATCAGGGAGATCGAAGTCATTCACCCAGCAGCTAAGCTTCTTGTAATGGCATCACAAGCTCAAGAGTCTGAGGTATGTCCTCTTCACTTCAATCTCATTTCTTATCTACTTATTGACCTAAATCCAGATGGGTGACTCGACCAACATGGTCATTATTCTCGCAGGAGAACTTCTCAAAAAATCTGAAAACCTTCTTGTTATGGGGCTTCATCCTAGTGAAGTAATCAAGGGATACGAACTTGCATGCGCGAAAGCTCTCGCAGAACTTGAAAGTGAGTCGCTTTCTCTCTTTCACACTTTCTTCTGACAACAGCACAGGCCTATCAACGTCCAGCCTACCTTCCCCTTTTACCCGGGAATCCCTTATTACAGCTCTCAAACCCGCTATTGCATCAAAGCAGTACGGTTATGAGGACACGCTTTCATCTCTAGTCGCCGAAGCCGCACTCGTAGTCATGCCCAAAAACCCAAAGAATTTCAACGTCGACAACGTCCGCGTCGTCAAGATCATGGGCGGCAGCCTTTCTGGCAGCAAAGTCGTACAAGGGATGGTGTTTGGTCGCGAGCCGGAAGGTAATTATACTCAAATTCTCAATACAGCGCTCACACTCTCGCGCCCTCCCAAGGTATCATCAAAAAGGTTTCAGGCGCGAAAGTGGCCGTCTTCACATGTGCCCTCGATGTCGCTCAAACCGAAACGAAAGGCACTGTCCTCCTCAAAAGCGCAGACGAAATGCTCAATTTTACGCGCGGCGAGGAACAACAACTTGAAAGGGTATGTTTTCCTCCATCTCATCACCTTCTATATATACTGACTATCACTCAAACAGATCTTCAAAGAAATCGCCGATTCAGGCATCAAAGTCATCATCGCAGGCTCGTCCATCGGCGACCTCGCCCTACACTACCTCAATCGCTTCAACATCGCCGTTCTCAAAGTCCTCTCCAAATTTGACCTCCGCCGCGTAGCTCGTGTCGTCAATGCCACACCTCTCGCCCGTGTCGGCGCACCCACCGCAGAGGAAGCAGGCTACGTCGACATCTTCGAGACGACGGAAATCGGTGGAGACCGTGTCACTGTCCTCCGTCAGCTCGCTCATGGCGAGGATGGGTATCAGGGACACACAGAGAAGACGCGCACAGCAACGATCGTACTTAGAGGTGCGACGGCTAACCATCTCGACGATCTCGAGCGCGCGATCGACGATGGCGTCAATGTGATCAAATCCCTCATAAAAGATCCACGGCTGGTTCCAGGTGCAGGTGCAACGGAGCTGGAGCTAGGCAAGCGTGTCGAGGCATACGGGAGCGGGATGAGGGGGCTGGCACAACATGCTGTAAAGCGGTATGCTACAGCACTCGAAGTCATACCCCGAACGCTCGCTGAGAACGCCCTGGGAGGTGCTGAGGGCAACGAGGTTCTCAGTCGGTTGTGGGCCAAGCACGAGCAGGAGGGTGGCGAAGCCTGGGGTGTCGATATAGAGGTAACGTTCACTTGTTCTGTATCATCATCTTTTGATTGATTGATCATATGCCAGGCCGAACGAGATGGCACTCTGCTAGCTACCGACTTCAAGATTCTCGACCCACTGGCCGCAAAACAGTGGGCCATCAAGCTCGCAACAGAAGCCGCCGTATCCGTACTCAGCGTCGACAGCATCATCATGAGCAAACCCGCAGGAGGACCCAAAGTTCCTCAACAAGCAAGTAACTGGGATGAAGATTAGGACACTGCTACGGGAGTGTCTAGACTGCTTTACAGTAATTTTGCGCAGACCAGAAAAGGTACAAATAATGGAAATAACAAATGGATGCAGCCGAAAAGAACGTTAGGGTGAGCAGCGAGAAATACTGTGGGGAACGTCGTACTGTACAATGTCTATGACAGATATCCGCGAATGGTGATAGGCCAGAGAACGGGATGCAAATGGATTATGATGATGGCAAGGAGTCCGCTGTAGAAGGGGGGTTAGGTATGACCGTATACATGGTTTATGACTCGTCTCCCGCGGCAGGAGAGTCCTAGCTCTCCGCAGGGAAACCCTCCGCTGCGAATTTAGGCTAAGCATGTCAAACTTTCTCCAATTCATATAAATCTCCAGATCGCACTTTCAAAAGGTGAGACACTAGAAAACTGGCTAACTCATCGAAATGCGTGCGACCACCCCAGAATTCACGGCTGACACAGCTGGGACATGGACGATAGAACTCGGTGCGGTAAATTTCAGAAATTCCAGAAAAAATAGTAAGTGTCGAGGAGGGTGTACGTGAAGAGAGTAGTCCGTTCATGGTGACTCATTGATGGTGGTGGTCAGAACCTCAGAGGTATAACAGACCTGTGCTGGGTTTGCCAGACGTGTTGAAAGCCGTTCGCGATGGCATCTCGACGCCACGTGTTCGGCAAAATGTGCGTTTATGCCTCGGGCTCGGAGCTTTGAGGATCACTTAGACGTGTTTGATGGGGCAGGTGGACATTATGATATAAGACAGAAGGTAACAATCTATTTGATTAAGCCAAACGAGAGTGATTACATTGAGAGTGTAGCGAGAGTTTCGGGCGAGGACGCGCAGCGTCATCCGACCCCGAGGGCTTCCTCGCAGTGACCGGGTTTCAGGTATCCTGCGGGCCTAAATGGTTCGGACTATGAGGAGAGCGAGGAACTTGAATCGGGAACGATGAAAGAAAGGGTGAGGAGGTGAGGAACGAGCAAGACGATATTTCTAAGTGCGAACGGATGTTGTGGCACGGAGTGTCCTGAAGACATACTAGTACATGTAAATGGGTGAAACGATATGGGAGATTGCGCTTGATCTGCGTACCCTCCTCGAATTATTTGCCGATAGCTATATTCTACCTCACTTATATCCCTAAGAGAGTCAGACCAAAGCAATCCTATTCATCAACGTCCACATACATACACAACAAAAGAGACGAGTACATATAGGCAAAAACACTTTCAATAGCTCAGCGTCAGCATACCTCTGCAAGCTCATGGTGTTACCTAGTGGCGAAAACTAGGCAAATGATTGGAGATCAGAAACACGGGTTAATTGCCACTGCTGGTGGGGAGTTCCTGGGACGTAAGTCTCGAGTTTCACCTGCGAGCGTTATGAGCAAAAGGCTTTTGAAAAAAAATCCACCAACTTACTTCACCGCGCCTCGGACTTGGAATGGATAACACCAGGTTATCGTCCCCGACGGTGTATCTAATGCTGTACATTTGAGTCGTTAAATTAGCAAAAATAAGTTGCTGAGCACTGTGTCGGATTCTCACGTATAGGTACTATCCGCCCGTGGAACAAGTTCAACGATAAACGCCTGCGTGGTGTAAACGATCGGTTCATCCGAATCCTGCCCACGTCTACATCAACCAACAAGCAGATGAATGAATGCCGATCTAGTAGCATACCTGGTTCGCAGCAGCAAAGAATCCATTTCCATTGGTGCCGTTGATAAAGGACTGAATGGTGAAAATTTTGCTCGAGGACCCTGACACGTAATGTCTCTTGATTATCCATTGCTAGATGTGACGCGTAAGAACTAGTCACAAGGTGCGTGCAAACGCATATAGATACCTGTTGATCCGCGGTGTCATCTCTGACGAGGCCGTGAACCTGGTTGCCTTCAGTGGTATCGGCTTCCTTCAGATCAAGCATGAGGTCTCTGGCAATGTTCTTGATAGTATACACTCCATCAGTGGAAAAGGGCATTGTATAAGATGCAGGTCGCGAGCAGTTTGATGATTCGATAGTGAGACGAAGAATTGACAAAGGAAAAGGCAGAGAATTCTGGGCTTTTATACGAAGTATCTTAGGCTATTTTCGACAGACGAGGCCAAGATGGGGCGGCAATAACACTGGCCTTGTGGACCAATGGCCTTGTCTGAGAAGGAAATGTAAGTCAGTGTGACAAGGCGTGCGTCTAAAAAGTCCTATCGCATAAACGCGTTGTATCCTCCCCTCGGAGCACAATTCTTGCGACCGTCTTGTGAGAAAGATGTTTCCGAGATTTGGGGCAGGTGGTCTTCGGATAGAATACAGGTAAGAGCCCAAGACATAGCACCAATTTTGTGCAAGCTGCTGGAGCAGGAGGGCTCAATAAGAGCCTCACCTATAATAAGTATACATCATTTCAAAACATGCATGACAGTTCGCTGCTCAACTTGTCCGTAGTACTAGTGTATAGGTCAGACATCTTACAACGCATATAACTATATCTGAGGTTCACCAGCAGTACTGCTATATAATTGTTATGGTTTTGAATGATTCGCAGCGTGAGCAGTAGTCGATTAGCTATACCGGGCTGCAGCTGATAGTGGAGGTATAAGGCCCTGGTTGAGGATTATAGAGCAAACGAGTTAGACACGAATCTATGTGAAATGAGACACGGATGCACGAATATTGCGACCAACCGTTCCACATTACCGCCGCAATTCCCGCTCTACTTGGGAACTGTACCTGCGACGTCGACCAGCACGTGAGAACTATGTGGGCGACAAAAATGGGCGACACATGTGGAGTATTTGTACCTGAGTTAGGCCCGGCAGTAGCGTAGTCAGCCAATTTAACAATCGTTTAATTAAATAAACTTATCGTAGAGTCTGGATTGAGTCTGGAAGAGTCTGGATCAAGCCAACTTTAAAACTCCGCACATACTACGTGCAGACTGGTATCTTAGGCTAGTGACTGGTCTGACCTATACACTAGTACTACGGACAAGTTGAGCAGCGAACTGTCATGCATGTTTTGAAATGATGTATACTTATTATAGGTGAGGCTCTTATTGAGCCCTCCTGCTCCAGCAGCTTGCACAAAATTGGTGCTATGTCTTGGGCTCTTACCTGTATTCTATCCGAAGACCACCTGCCCCAAATCTCGGAAACATCTTTCTCACAAGACGGTCGCAAGAATTGTGCTCCGAGGGGAGGATACAACGCGTTTATGCGATAGGACTTTTTAGACGCACGCCTTGTCACACTGACTTACATTTCCTTCTCAGACAAGGCCATTGGTCCACAAGGCCAGTGTTATTGCCGCCCCATCTTGGCCTCGTCTGTCGAAAATAGCCTAAGATACTTCGTATAAAAGCCCAGAATTCTCTGCCTTTTCCTTTGTCAATTCTTCGTCTCACTATCGAATCATCAAACTGCTCGCGACCTGCATCTTATACAATGCCCTTTTCCACTGATGGAGTGTATACTATCAAGAACATTGCCAGAGACCTCATGCTTGATCTGAAGGAAGCCGATACCACTGAAGGCAACCAGGTTCACGGCCTCGTCAGAGATGACACCGCGGATCAACAGGTATCTATATGCGTTTGCACGCACCTTGTGACTAGTTCTTACGCGTCACATCTAGCAATGGATAATCAAGAGACATTACGTGTCAGGGTCCTCAAGCAAAATTTTCACCATTCAGTCCTTTATCAACGGCACCAATGGAAATGGATTCTTTGCTGCTGCGAACCAGGTATGCTACTAGATCGGCATTCATTCATCTGCTTGTTGGTTGATGTAGACGTGGGCAGGATTCGGATGAACCGATCGTTTACACCACGCAGGCGTTTATCGTTGAACTTGTTCCACGGGCGGATAGTACCTATACGTGAGAATCCGACACAGTGCTCAGCAACTTATTTTTGCTAATTTAACGACTCAAATGTACAGCATTAGATACACCGTCGGGGACGATAACCTGGTGTTATCCATTCCAAGTCCGAGGCGCGGTGAAGTAAGTTGGTGGATTTTTTTTCCAAAGCCTTTTGCTCATAACGCTCGCAGGTGAAACTCGAGACTTACGTCCCAGGAACTCCCCACCAGCAGTGGCAATTAACCCGTGTTTCTGATCTCCAATCATTTGCCTAGTTTTCGCCACTAGGTAACACCATGAGCTTGCAGAGGTATGCTGACGCTGAGCTATTGAAAGTGTTTTTGCCTATATGTACTCGTCTCTTTTGTTGTGTATGTATGTGGACGTTGATGAATAGGATTGCTTTGGTCTGACTCTCTTAGGGATATAAGTGAGGTAGAATATAGCTATCGGCAAATAATTCGAGGAGGGTACGCAGATCAAGCGCAATCTCCCATATCGTTTCACCCATTTACATGTACTAGTATGTCTTCGGACACTCCGTGCCACAACATCCGTTCGCACTTAGAAATATCGTCTTGCTCGTTCCTCACCTCCTCACCCTTTCTTTCATCGTTCCCGATTCAAGTTCCTCGCTCTCCTCATAGTCCGAACCATTTAGGCCCGCAGGATACCTGAAACCCGGTCACTGCCGACTTTCTATACACTCCATCGGTGAAAAGGACATTGTACAAGATGTACGTCGCTAGTAGTATGATGATTCGATAGTGAGACGAAGAATCAACAAAGGAAAAGGCAGAGAATGTTGTGCTTTTATACAGAACATCTGGGGCTGTTTTCGACAGATGGGGCCAAGATGGAACGGCAAAAACACTAATCTCGTAGACCAGCGGCCTTGTCTGAAAAGAGAATGTGAGTCAGTGTGACAAGGCGTCTGGAGAAACTTTCCCTAGCTAGAAGCGCGTCGTGCTTCTAAGAATGAACGCATTGCATCCTCTCCATTTGTACTTGTCAAAATGATGCAGCAAAAACGTACCAGAAACAGTGAAAATCTAGTTTTCAACAGTCTCAACAAATCTGCACCCTCACAGAAGAGAATCCGGCGTGTTTTGGCGAAACTATCTGCTCAGGAGCTGCAGGTTGAGAAAGCCAGACATGTAGCAGAAAGGAAGCAAAACGAAGCGCAGAACAAGCTGTAGTGCTCGCAATAGATTCACATTTTCGTACTCTTCACTCCTTTATTCAAGCTCTCCTCTGAACAAGAACTAGCAACGGCCTGCTGTGTATCGAGAATGCTCAGAGCACGCAGTGGCAAAACTCTCGCGTTTATGTAGCAATGTCGCCCCGATGTGATGTGTACGGTCGCGAGGGAGGGCAAAGTTATTAGGCGAACGTCTCGTGAAAAAGATGTTTTCGGAGCTCTTATTGAACCCTCTTGCTCCAGACTCCAGCAGCTTGCACAATGATGGTGCTATGTCTTGAGTGTTCTATCCAAGTACCGTCTGCCCGAAATCTCACCTATTATATAGCATCATCTCACAACACGTATACCAGTTTGCCGCTCGACTTGTCCGTGGTGTATAGGTCAAACCAGTCACGAGCTTAACATACCAGCCTGTCCTCGTTCCTTATTTCTGGTATGTTTAGCAGGTCGAAGACTCGAAGAGGACGCGACGGACTTTTGAAATTCTGAATCTTACATACCGTTTTTGGTATGTGCGAAGTTTTAAAGCTGCCTTGGCAAGCGCTGGTCCATGAGACTAAGTATATGCGACCAGTCCTCGCGGGAGATTACATAACGTTAACCACTTCGACATTCCACCGGTGTCGTCGTCACCGTCGCTTTTTTCGTTTTCGACATCTTGGTTATATTGGCTTCACCAATGTCGCTGTCACCGGTAGCATCGTTTCTGTCTCGGACATCATGACATTACATGATAGTCAACGTTCGCATCAGTTGTCTCGTGGTATGTATTTCTGGTAGTGTGACCCTGTAATGTGATTAATACCTTTCGCATACAACAGACTAACGAATCACGATGTATCCTGTGGAGACAGTAGTATAAAATACCCCGATATCTCCATTAATTCCGAGTTCAACTTCATTCGGTCTAGAATTGTAAGACTCGACCAAGGAGAGGCTGGAAAAGACATACTTGGATTCAGCGCTATGGTCCGCTAAGCCGATTCGGATGGGATGCACCTAACTTTTTACGTCCATGGTCATCAATTATTCGATACCGTTTCAATTTCAACCACGACAAAGATATTATTAACTTCCGTATCATCTGACTATCGCTGACCGGTCAACCAGCTGATAGGTAACAATAATGTTTTGCTTGCTGTGAATAGACTAGCTGAAGTACTATGCAGAATCTCAGTCGGAAATCCTTCCACATCGCATCATCACAACCCGGACCCTACAGTCGCAGAACCCTTTGACTCACCGGGAATGAGTGTTGCTGAATCTGGAGAGTTGACACGAAGAATGCAGCTGCAGCGGATGGATTGGGGTTTGAGCGAGGCCATCTGAAAGATCGAGCGAGCAGCTGTAGATGATAGTGGTGCAGTCGTTGATCCAAGCCTTCGAGATATGGACTTCACATCAGTCTTGACTGAACGGCTCAACCACAAACACCCACCTATTCAAGACAGTGGTCCTGTCTGAAATGCAGCATATATGCGCCCCCAAGTGCACAGGAGTGTTTCTGCTTCGTGTGCGCCAGTCTCAACCTCTTCTTGATCTGTTTTGACCATGCGAGATTCTACCCCCGAGGAAGAGACTACGAGTTGAGCGTGTTCGGTGACTCCAAGCACTACTAGTGACAAAGACTTCTGAGCAGGCAGATCTTCAGTCAAGATAGAACGTATCTTGGCTACAGCAGAAAGTACGCCTAGCGCCGTCTTTGCATATGGATGCACCTATAACTAATCTTGGTTAGTTTGCTACCAACTAAGGAGAACGGCTCATACATTGGCGATCTTCTCAACGGCAGTGTCAAATTTTCAGCTGTGGTGGGATGCTTGTCGTCGGTGAAAGGATGCGGATGTGACGTGTCCTGCGCGCCTCTGATAAAACAAAAATTGAACTGCGAGTCTGATTCTGAGCGCCTACCTTGATATTCTGAATCTCAGAAATGTGGTTGCAGGAACGCTTGAAGCATTTCCGCACAATCTCAGTCATATTCAGAATCAGGAAGCCCAGCAGTCTACTTACGCAGAATTTTTTGTGACGCCTTTTCCAAATTCCGAATAGCCTGCTGTACTCCACTATAGTCTATAGGGTTGGCTCCGACGAAGAAAGCATTAGAAGTAGCGATGAATTACATGCGCTCATCCATAGCGGGTAAGTCCTTGAGACTACATGCTGAGCTTTCATGAACAGTGGCTTCACAGGTTTCTGAAGGAGGATTTGGCCTATGTCCTTACTCATCGACTACTGTGAGCGAAGTGGTGATGCAAGAAGTAGGTGGGAGAAATTTGGTAGGCTAAGCATGTCAAAATTTCTCTAATTCATATATCAATTAGACAACAACAATTTATATGATATATGACTAGTTGACTAATGGACCTCGCACAATTTTGAACAAGCGTACGTTCAACAAAGGAATAACCAAGAATTCGATTGAACGGCTCCTCGATAATTGATAATTGAGGAGGCCAGCTGATATCGATGACCAACAATACAACCAGCAATTAAGTCGGGAATCGTTCTTGGCCTCAACAATGTAACTGTGAAAGTATGGTCATGCGCTGGATCCTTTCTCGATACAGCGTTAGCTCCTCGTGTGTGTCCAACACTGATGTATGGCTTGCTCTTCTGAAAGTGTGCCAAAATTCCAGACAGTTGGTATCTCAGTTATATCTGTGTTGGTTTGAAATATCAGATATATCAACGCCAGGGTATCCTAAACAGAATGGTGAACAGAAGTTGAGCTCCTTCAGGCGTCCATTTTAGGACTTCCAGTGACAAGCGACGACCATGTCCACCCCTGCGCTTCGCACAGATGCCGATGTGACAGCGTATCAGATAGTTGAAATAGTTATTCCTCCTCGGGCCTCCATCTGTAATAAGATATTGGCCCTTGGAGTCCAACTTGAAAGCTCAGGCTGCGGCTCTTTTCGTGTCGCGCACTCGACGTTGTGTATCGCGCAGTGGCGTCATAGATAACAGCATATAAGGTAGTTGAAATAGTCATTCCTCCATGGGGCATGACGATTTGAATTTGCGTCCAAACGATATCATGCCGGTAAAGTCTTGCCACAATACTGCCAGCAAGGTGGGTAAGCAATTGCAACAAGAACGTGGTGCATGACAGGCTTCCAAGTCTCTCATGTGGCCCGAAGGAATGGCGACTTATTGCAAGTAGTTCCGAGGTTCTGGGACTGCAAGCGATCTCCAGACGCACATCGCAACAATGAATGGTATTAGATAGTACGGGAAGAGCGGCAGTTGAATGGAGAAATATAAATAAATAAAGGCTACCCTGAAGAAAGTCGAGCAAAAATGTCCATTAAGCTCTGAGCCTCATGATTGAAAGGATTATACGGCGCAAATTGCCAGCATCTTTGATGAGCAAAAGTCACGCGAAAGTCAACTAAGGTAAAGAAGGATAACGTACCCTGGGTGGTTGAGAATAAGAGCTGGGAACATCTCAATACAACCTTCGGGAATCTTGGGCCAATGGACAGAAGTGGTGTGATCATGATGCGAGACAACAAAAGGAAGCAAAAAGGTCATGTCAGAGCGTTCACTGATGCGACCGACGCTGGCTGTCATACTTCAGTATCTAAGAGGCCGGAGAAAGAAGATCCGCACCTGCAATCAATTCGAGAAGGTCCAAATGGGATATAATCGAGCTGAGCAGCGCGGGGGTAAGCGCCCTGATCTGTGCCTGCATGACGGTAACCAGCGCAGGTCCAAACGAGAGTCTCTCGCGTAGAGCACTTGAAGAAAAATCGGACTCGTCCTGTTCATGAGTGATGAATTGCGGGCGAAATGGTGGGAAAATAGAAGTACCTACCATAATCCATGTCGACACCAAACTCGTCAATGAAATTATGGATTCCTTGATAGTCTTAGTATCAGGGTTAGCTTTAGTTGCGGCAACCTCCGCTAAAGCATTCGCAGAGAAAAAAGTAGCATCCTCCTCGAGGTGCACATTTAATTGCGTGAGGAGCGAGCGCACATAGTCGAGGAAAGGCAGAAGAGCGGGGTGACCGACAATGACAAGAGGCGCACATGCATAAACGCGATTCAGACCACGAATGAGTGTGTTCTTCATTAGTGCCATCAGATGAGGTAAAGCACAGCGCGAGTCAAGATTTTCGAGATCGTCTGGGATAGAAGGGAGAACAGGAAGAGGATAGGTAAGTGCGGAGGACATGCTGGAGTAAGACGATACTGATGAGGATATGTGCCATCTTTGATGTCTTTGATGTCTCTTATATAGGCAAGGAGATAGGTTGCATCAATATGTCTTGGACACATGAATAGAGCTATGGTCGTCTACCACCCCAACAAAGAGTCGCTCGACGCCACAAGTTATCATCGATCAAAGAAGGCATGACTAGACTGGTCGCGATGATCGCCATGAAAGGGGTCTTTGTTCAGGTTGCAATGAGACTTCGTGTTCCACACCAAGAAAATTTTGTTGATTTCGACTTGCGTAGGTTGAAATATCATACTGACCGTTCTTCTAAATTCGGTCTTGTTGTGATTGGCCTAAAGTTATGCTGTCCACCAAGTTGTAGGTCGTCCACATAGATATCATAGGACCTATTGGCTTTATTGAAGCATATGAATTAATTCTCTCGAAGATTAAAACGGCTTTAATACTGAGGTTGCCAAGCTGCTCGAGACTGATTTCATTCCACCGTTTGCAAGTTGCAACAGTCTCCAGTGATATCAGCTACAATATTGAAGCTCCAGAATCGCTTGACAATAACATCAATGCTGAGTTTGCTGTTGTGATGGGGAAAGAACGGTGCACACGGGAGAATTTGCTTTGGACTGGGATGTGAATGGGACGGAAGTATTAGAAGGGAGAGGTCACGAAACCACCGTGTGTTGATAAGGGACTAGTGCCGGCACTAGCAGTACTTGGTAGACGAGATAATGCAGAAGCACATTAATGCAAGAACTTGGGTGGTCTCACATCAATATTAATATTGTAGCACAAAGCTTTGAAGTGCCATGAAAATTTTCCTTGATTCCGCCAAGTTCTGCCGGCAGAACTGCTTCTGTCCACAATACAAGCGGCCCGCACAAGTATCGAAGAGTGTCGTAATTCAGGAAGGCAGACAACACGGATCTGCTGGGACGATTCAATGAGAGGTGCTCACGTGATGGGAGCTGAGCACACCATCGCAAGTGTTCAGCACGCCATGACTGTTTGCATAGTATAAGTAAGATGGACATTGAATTGAAACGTGGCCCTTCCCGTCACTTTGACCGCATCCATGGTCCACTGTACACTTACCATCGGCTACACCCTCATCAGTATTTGACATCATGAACGTCTTCGCCTACCGAGTTGGGAATTACCGTCAGTCCACACTGACACCCATCTATACCGTCACATGTAGTGACTCACCAGCCCATAGAAGAGCTGAGCGCTGACATGCCATCCAAATTCCCATTGTAACACGTCAACAACTTTCCGCAATGGTCACACGATGATCTTTTTTATAGGATCGCACAATTAACATTTTCAAGCGCATTACTCACCCCATGTAATCAACAGGTAAGTAGCTTATCACGAGTTTTCGCTCGCCTTTTTTAGATTCCGTAAATCGTCGATGCCGATATTATCCGACCACTGGTATCGTGTCATCGTCCTTGTGACCTTCCCATCCGGCGTTAAGGCTTCTCTTACGCTTTCAAGTCGCACTTGGCTCGATTTTTGCACTCGTTTCAGGTTATCATTCGCTTCTCACATCAAATTCTTAACCTTTCTTCATGCGCCGGGGCACACAAACCGCCCTTCCTATACTGCATCCGATGGATGTTGTCCTCGTGTCTGTCATCGGCATTACCTCCGAACTCGATGGATTATCTCATTTATCGTCATACTGCAAGTGATATGGTGTACATTGGGTGACGACCCCTCCATAATTCGGATACTAACTCATTACTTTGTTTGTACGTATATTTTGCGCATCCCTATAAAATCCATGTTTCACCTCTTGTGGATCTGCATTGAGTTTTGAGCTCTTCAATATCATCATCCTCCAAACTGAATATTTTGACTGCGAACTGTTGTACCGCATCACTATGTTCTGCCCCTCTGATTCCTCTCTATCCAACTCCCCATTGACCTCCAGGTCGAATACACCATCCTCCGTATCTGACTTCCAGCTCACCAAAAATTTCCTCCTCTCCCCTACGCTGCTCGACAAACAATTCTTGAGAGATTTCTCCAAGAAGTTGGATAAGGGATCCGAGGACAAGATTGTGATTCCTGTTAACCATTCTGATGCATTTACCAGTGGATGGATTCAAGAAGCCATCAAATCATTACCTTGTGTTGATCTTGAGGGAAAATACTGGGAGAAGCACCATGTTGATGGTAATGCACAAGTTTAACCTCGTGAGACAATAATGCTGACTCGTCGTAGAAAGCTGTTATTTCACTGAAACGTGCGAGGGCGTTGAATTTGATGAATGGTTGAAAGTTTGCACAAAAACTGGCAAACTTGTAAGTTATAGTTTTCTCAAAATTTCTGTTTGCTTTCTCTTGTACCTTGATAGTGGAAGTAGATGACATTTTTGTCTTCGACGTCGCTTATATTTTCTCCATTCCATTCCGTGCCGCTCATTCTCTTCAACGTAGGCAAGCGCAGCACAAGCCTTGAATATCTTCGCTTCCGTTGGCCTCCGTTCGATCTTTGGACAATCTTCTCCATGTGGAAGAAGCACCTTATACGTCCTCGAGCGCCCGTCTATATCCTTCCCACCTCTTGATCTTACGAGCCCATGGGGTGTCCCCACGAAACAAGTATGTCGATCTTTTTCGTGGCTCTTGTTTGGTGGTTGATGGATAGCGTTGCAGGAATGGAAGGACGTATGGGCTGCCTGGGATCTTGTTACACTTGGCATGATCCCAAGCGTCATGTTACACCAGAAACCTATCGAATTGCGACACAAATGCTTGTTTTACATTGGGCACATACCTACGTGAGTTTTACATCGAGGTGTTTTCTCGGTTGCGTCTGAGTGTCGAAACAGATTCCTCGACATGCTTATGGCTCGTGCTCTCAACCAGTCGAATTCTGAGCCCTATTTCGCGCAAATCTTTGAGGTGCCAACTAATTCTTTAATTCAAAGCATCGTTCCTGACTCCTTACATTAGCGGGGCATTGACCCTCATGTCGATGATCCGGAACACTGTCATGTATGCATTTACTTCCCTCGTTATTTGTTTTCCCCTGATGTCAATTTTGTATTAAAGAGACACTCTGAAGTTCCCACAAAGGACGAGGATTGGCCTGCCCTTGGAACGATCCTTGCCTTCCGCGACCGTGTGCGTGGGCGCCTTCTGGCGTTATATGACGATTTAGCATCTGGAAAGCGCAAAATCAACAGGAATATCGGCCGCATGCTTGCGATGACCCTTGAACATGAGGGGTGGCACATCGAGGTCAGTATAATATTTCTCTATTTGTATTGATCGAGTCCTAAAAGCGTTTGGTATGGCATAGACACTCCTCTACATGCTCATCCAGCGTGCTGGAACAGGGACGCTCCCCCCGCCAGGATTCGTCACCCCGCCGTGGGAAGCTCTGTCTGCACAATGGGATGCTTCACGTACAGCCCCTTCTTCATCGACTGTCACTCTTGGCCCTGTTACCATCACGCTTGGGCACGACGATTGCGAGGGTACTGATTTCGATGAAGGCGCGTGCGACCAGGTTGAGGGACACGAGTTTGGCTGGGACAATGAAAGCCCTTCCCGACAGGTGCAGGTGGAGAAATTCCATGCCGAGTGGAGGCCAATCAGCAATGAAGAGTTCTATGCTTGGTGGCTGAACAGGAAGGAAATTGGTCTGCCACCCAGTTGGGTGGAGGGAGAGGAAGAAATTCAAGTTCGTTATTCATTCAACTATGGATGGCTGGGACTGATTAAAATTGCCAGGTCCGCACTCTCTACGGTCCTGTGCCACTAGGTGTCGCGAAGCACTGGCCGGTGCTTACGAGCTACGATATGCTCAGTGAATATGCGAAGAGTAAAGGCGGACGACTACCCACCGAACCGGAGTTAAGGCTCTTCCTTGACACATATGAGGTTGGATTCGAGGGTGGCGCGAATGTAGGCATCAGAAACTGGCACCCCGTTCCGTAAGTCACTATGCATTCTCGATTATCTTATTTCACATATTTGATTACAAGAGCGACTACTGGTCTCGAGGCAAACGGCGGTCGTGGAAGCAATGGTGGTGTCTGGGAATGGACCTCGACGCCGTTCAATACCCACGATGGATTATCACCAACGGAACACTTCCCAGGGTACTCAATAGATTTCTTTGATGGGAAGCACCATGTTGTTGTAAGTCTTGGCCGTCCATCATCTTGCTATCGGTTGACACAATGGGTTATGCAGCTCGGAGCATCGTACGCTACGATCCCGCGCCTTGCTGGGCGGCGGACAGTCAGAAACTTTTATCAGCACAATTATCCATACCCGTGGGTCGGTGGGCGGATAGTATATGATGCGTGAGGATGAGTATGCCGGTTCTTTGTAAAGCAATTCTGTAAGTAGACAATGTATTGTACATCTACCTGCTGCCTCGCCGACATTTGATATGTCGTTTCTGAGATGGGCACATACTCAATATATCAAGCCTGCCGTTAGAATGTCTAAAAACATCTCGCACGATAAGCTGACCGTGCATAGACAACGAGACATTTTTTACGAGTTCGAAAGGAGATTGCAACTTTGAACTTCAAGCTTCAATTTGGCTCATATTACTAAGCGTGTGACCTGTTGACCCCTATATGCCGATCTTGCCCCTATCATCGACGTCATAGGGTCGCTTATATATTGGACACTATTTTCCTACCTACCTTTGACAATAACCATAATGGCAACCTGCAGTGGATGTACATGCGCCAGCGAATGCCCGTGAGTATTCATTTCTTGTCGCTATCTCACACTTGAACTTTCTTACTACAGAGCTTGTGGCCCCTCAGGGACTGGCTGTGCTTGCCCAAAGAACCAATGTAACTGTCAGAAATGCGTCAACAGCGCACACTCAAAGAAGGTGCAGTCATCAATTTTGAACTAGGGTCTTGTAATAATACTAAGTGCGACTCGATGCAGTGCTCTTGCGTTGGCACAGGGGAAAATTGTGAATGTTCTAAGCAGGGTGAAGTGTGTGCTTGTGAGTCAAAGTGATGAATCCAGTTAGGATGGAGCGAATTCAGAGGCGACCGTCGTGACCGTTCAAAGTATTGTACAATGTCTGTTGATATATTGCAAGAGAAACTGAAACTTGATGATCATGGCTTCCTAACATGCTCAACGGCATGTACTGAGGGACCACTGTCCCTACTACTAAGTTACAAGTATCGTCATCTTTCCAATGCCAGACTATTACTTGCAGCATTCGTGCTGTTATCTATACCCTGACACTGAGCTAGGCTCACTGTCAATAGTGATATTCCTGCCAGTGCCGGCGGCTTTACCTTGTCTCAAGACAGCTTTGGAGAACAACAACAACTGCAGGTCAAAGCTAAACCAGCCTAGACTCTGCGCACTGTAGTGAGTTGGGTTCATTCCTGCTCGAGTCACGAGTGCATGGGATGCGGGGTTTCAGGTTGATTCCGTCACGCGTCCATGGTGCAGTTCCTCGTGTTCCTACGGTCCTCCACATTGATTTCTTTGCGATTGCATCGGTCACAGTGAGCACGCAGATCTGGAGACCGCCCTATTGCGCGTGATCTGATTCACTGCCAGATTCTTACCATCGTACGATCCTGTCAATTTAATGGTGTGAGCAAGCACGACCTACCGACACGGTCTGTCACTGCAGTGCGAACCGCCTCGCGAGTTTAAAAATACCGTCCTTATTTATAGACCCTGTGTCGGACATGTGTAGACCCACGGCTTATACATGGGGGCTTGCTCCCGCGTATGACCTCGAGAGTTTGATTCGGCACTGTCAGGATGACCATTCCCACGCTACGTTTGTGTAATTCACTACTGAGTACTGAGTAAGGTGCCACTAGTACTAAATGTAAATATTAATCGCCTCGTAGACCAAACGCTCCTCATCGATGACCTAGCAGGACGCGCTCTGGATCATGCCGAACTTTCTCTTCGCAAGTGGTCAAGGTGTTCAACAGTTTCTGTGTGTACATGCAACACCTTCTCAGGCTAGCCTGTCTGAAGTTTCCGTAAAACAGTCAAAGTGAGTGACATTGTTATGAAGTCGTTTCCAGGGTTTTTATATGTGCTTGAGGAGAGGGTATAAGTACCAGTCCGGTTTCACTTACTTCTGAGTTCCTCTTGCACTTCCCTCTAGACTCACTATCAACTTCAACATTATGACCTCTGAGTCATGGACGTCGCTAGATTCTACTCCAGGCCGGCGCATTTTCTTTCGCCCCCTTGGAAGTTCAGAAACTGCCCTCCATTGGACTGGCGTTTTCAGAAACACCTCAGATACCGTGATGCACATACACCTTCGTACCGCACAAGCCAGCGATCAAGACGTTCATTCCCAATCGAATATCTTGCGTTCTTGGGTGTCTGTCAAAAAACGCTTTCCCCTCATCGCGGCTGAAGTGGAAGAACACGAGTTTGGTCCACGCTTCATAATTCGTGAAGAAACAGTCATGAATCTTCGACCTGATGATGTCACATTCACGGAGGTCAATTCCTTTCATCATGCTGAATGTTTCGTAAACGACATTATGGATGGACCTCGGCGCCTTTCATCTCAGTTGCTTACTCGTGCCTATATTTTGCGCCGAACAGATAAAAGTGACCATTTCCACGTCGTGGTTATGCTCGCCCACTGCATTACAGATGCAGCTAGCACGAGCACGGTGCTTAGGTCGTTTTTTGACACACTGTCATCTCGGATTGAACCACCGTACATTCCTCTAGGCGAGAGAGTGCATAATTTCAAGGCTTTAGAGAGCAATCTGGCTTCTAGAGATCTTTCACTTGTCAAAAGACGGTGGAGGCGGGCTTTGGGTTATGCAATTGACTTGGCACGGATGTCTCAATTCAAGGTCTTTAGTGTTCAGTTTGTAGTGCCTTACAGGAGAGCTAAAGCATTGAAGCAGGGCGGTCACACTCTCCCCGGAGACTTCAGGGAATCCACACCTCATACTTCCGCTAAAAAACGCGACCATGTCTCAGTGTTTTCGAGAGCAGTGTCGTCAACCATTCTCACCAATTGCCGCCGCTATGGTATTACCATGAACTCTGCGTATTATACCCTCAGCCAAGTTGCCATGGCACGTGTTTTATGTCGACGGTACCTCAGGGGTCAGATCTCGGAAGAAGAATGGGAGTACAGGAAGCGCCAGCCCATGTATATCCTCGGGCCGGTGAACTTACGCCCGTACCAAGATAAGGACTGGTTTGAGACGGGCGGCTCGGGCGATGTTGGCGTCGGCGTCGGCACCGTTCAGTATGTGCTTCCCTTCATGCCTCTTGGTAGCATGTCTAGGGGAGACCCTAACAGGTTGGAACTTGTTGATGGGGCACCGGACTTCCCGGATCTCATGTCTTTCAACCGGTTTCTTCTCCGATGTGCTAATCTGAAGGCGCAAGCCCAGAAGCTGCTCGGGCACCCACGGTTGGTTGACATATGTAATTCCACTGTGAGACTCTATTTGACTCCTTCCGGGAGGGAAATCGCTTCGAAGCGATTGAAGACGAGAGACAGTGTTCAGCCAGAGGACGGCGGTAAAAGTGTATCCGTTCAGTCTTTGAACCCGATACACACACATGTGGGAGCCACTCTCGGCAATGTCAGTGACTCTCTTTGTATATATTCAAATGAACTAAACGTTACGATTCCAGATGGATCATATGTTGCCCACAGAATATCCTCTGCCTCCCGAGCACTACCTGTCACCGCTGCACAGCACGCCTCACGCCCATCGGGCCGGTTATCCACCGTGGTCACCGCAGGCTGCTGCTTTCGAGGACGCCAAAACACCGCGACTCTATGTTGAGTATTGGCGTGTCCATCAACACTCAACGCCTGCCAAGCTGTATCTTGGTGCGTCAACTGCGCGCCAGCAGCTGCAATATTTTGTCTTCTACGATCAGCACGTCTTTAGCGAAAAGATTGTCGCGGAGTGGGTGAGTGAGTTGAAGGATGCGACGTTGTGGTATCTGGGCCAGCCCCATGGCAATGGAACGCCTTTAGTACAGAGCAGGTTGTAGTGCCACATTGCAATGTTGAAAAATAATACAAGAAAAGTACAGGAATAGTTGAGTAGTCGTAGAATTACAGAAAACTAGTTTGTTACATCGAACATTAGAATCTAATCGTCCTCCTCATCCTCCTCGTCCCAGTCCACACTCTCCGCTATTGCATCACCTTCGCTGTAGAGCTTGTCCAGTCCAGTCAACTTTTCAAGGAATCCGGGCTCGTTAAATGCCTTCAAGAGCATATTGAAGCCTTGTTCCTCGTAGGCTTTGAGAACCTGAGCCATGGGTGAGTATAGAGATGCGGAGAATGGGTGATGGGGCTCACTGTCTCGCTGCAACCCGTGCACTTGTCGTACGCTGCACCTATGATCGGGAGGTTTCTGAACTGTGCCAAGAACCCACGCAATTGATGCGGGACAAGACCCAGAACACTGTCCGACGTGCTAGGGTCTGCAGCAGCGCCATTGGCTTGAGGAGGGGGCGGGGGTGCATGAAGCCTGCGAATGACGTCAGGAACAGTGTCTTGACGTACAATAAGACCTACCCATCGGGATGTTGTAACAAAGAGACGAGAAGTTCGACCGCCGTAGAAGCTGCGATCGAGGCAAGGCCGGGTCTTGTCACGGTACACATTTGATCCAAAGTGCGATCCGTCAAGGACTGTATGGAAAGATATGTGAGTGAATGTCGGTATGGAGAGTTGAAAGGCAATACATCAGCAGGAGCGACGATATCGTTGCAGTAATAACAACCCAGTCGATTGCCCGTCGTCGAAGACGCTCGAGCGCCATGACGCATGACAAGGTACGTGTCAAACCCAAGAGCGGCGTTAAGGACTATCTGCGCGAGGGTTCAGTACGAACAATACACATACGGTCTTGTGCCGTACCTTGCCCTTGGCAGCGCCCAAAACAGTGGGCAGCCAGCGGCTTTCTCTAGAATCCATTAAGAGGAATACAACATCGTGTTCGTCGAACAGCGTCTCTAGATGCCTGACGTCTTTCTTCGCTTGCTCAGTGGACGCCGGAGGTATAGGATGACCTGGCATGGGTATCGATATATCATGGCCTGTTGCATTCTAATTTACAAGTCATCAGAGATCGTTCAAGATGAGCGATACGGGACTTACAATACCGGGGAAGATTTTCGTCAAGCGCTGGGCAGCGCAAGCAGCCTTGGGTTTACCGCCGTTGAGACAATCCTCGAATTCAAACAAGGGTTGGCGGACGGGATTCGAGAATGATACACGCGCAGAATCAACAAAAGTAATCGTACGGACACCCCATCCCTAGTAATGGAAATCAGTCATGACTGTGAATTTGAATATATCCGTACAAACCATGAGGGTACGTGCAACGTAGCAGCCAAGTGTCCCTGCACCGAGAAGCAGGCATCTTGTCGATGCTACTTTATCGAGGTCTAGCGAAGGTAAGATGCGCCAGCGCATCAACTTCAAGTTCAGGTCCACAGCTTGGTCAGCGAGCCTAAAAGCCTATCAGCAGTATTTACCATGAGTAGCTGGACAACACATACCTCTTCGGATCCATCATGGGTGCCAGATCAGCAACTCGAGCACTGAGCTTGTTGGTTGTCGGATGGCGCTCCCATCCTATAGCACTAGGTTTCGTGGTTGGATCTCCTTCTCCGATGGAGACCACTCCAAACCGGCTCCTCCATGGTTTTCCAGCAGTGGGTCTTTCGCTATCTCTCCAGCAAAGAACTCGGACAGAAGATGTTTGCGATGGATATACCGCACGAAGGAAGGTGAGGAGGTTCCGAAGAGGCCAACCTGGGTTTTCAGGAAGAGCAGATGGATCTAAAAAGCCGATTACTCGCTGTGCAAAGGGAGTCAGCCTTGGCTCATGAGACGGAATGCACCAATTACGTTCTCGGGAGCAACACCAGTAAAGAACTCTTCATATTGTTCTATCGACCCTACTTCGGTTATACCGCCAATCTCCTTCACGAGAAAGAATGATCGAGTCATCTTGAGGAGTGAGTCGTAGATAGATTCCAACTGAAAGTACTTGTAAGAACGCGAAATGTTCTTCGAAGGAGGACATACCCCCTGGATCTCTTCATCCGCTGGCTTCCAGCCATTTTCTGAAATCTGCCAGGCTGGTTTGGACACAAACGCGGGAAAGGCGAACCAGTAGAAGTACTGATACTTCTTTAGATCAGCGAATGTTATTAATAAGAACTGCGTGAGGAGAGACGTGTCTTTGGTTGTTATGATGCTGTCCCAGATCTTATTGAGACAAGTATTACCATTTGCTATCGGGCGCGTCAAGTCATGATCGCACCTTGGAAACGACATCATTAATGAGTGCAGCCTTATCTGCAGCCTTAAAGTCCTCGATAGTATTGAAGTTCTTGAAGATGCCAGTGGTATGGACGGACATGGGTGACACCCTAGGATAGAGTCAGCATATCAGCTTCAACGCGTGTCCGATCGCGACATACTGAGGTGCCTTCTGGTAAGCATCTTCCCCTACTGTGAGGTTACATCCAAGAGCGATGTCTTGCCCTGTTTCGCGATCTCTGATTAATCGACCGACGGAATATGACCCATTCACGGTAATAGCGTCTTCTGAGAGACGAAGGACATCTATCTTCATGCGAGTGAGCTCATGCCAAAAACCTGGCTGAACAAGGGACGCAAAGGGCGCAAACTGGACGACAGGCATGTCGTCGACCCGGGTAGTGATGGTAGTTGTAATGAGGCTTGATGGTGACTGACTTGACTCTCCATGTTCACAGGGACACACACCTACATATGGCAAGCTCGGTCCATTAACTAGTGCTAAAACAGTAAAACTTCACCGGTTAATCTCGATCAGCTCTCTCGGCCCAAGTGATCAGAGGAAACTACACTATGCAGAACTACTCATCTATGGAAGAACTGACATACTCATAATTGTTATTAATACAACATTATATGTCGAATCATCATGTACTCGTGAACGAAGTTTGAGAGCAGCGCAAACGTTCACATCTTCGCGTTGCGCTTGTCTTCGAGTTGATGAGCAGAAATATTGAAGAATAACATGAAAAGCATTGGTAGTATAACTAGAGTTAAGAGAGCGAATAACCGGACTGTGGAAACAATCGACGCGCCCAAAGATTACTGTCCTCGGTCCTCGAATTGTAAGACCGAGCAGGCACGGTGAATGTCATCATACAATCAAGCATCCACAGGACAAGGAGAAAGATAAAAACATTGCTGCCTAACCAAATCTTGTCAGTGTGCAAAGGAATCCAAGTATCATTTGTCGATCTCGTCTAGCTAATGTCCATGGCATCACCGGTGGCGCCTACAAGGGTGATGTCTTCGTTAACAATCAAATCTCTTATGTTTTCGCTCTTCCATGCTGTGGTCCCTCTTCTGAATGTGTAATGGCGTTCCTTCTCTACCCGCTCGTTGGGCTTGACAAAATTGCGAAGCATCTCCGTTTGCGTGGCGGTAATGATACATGCATCAACGTTGGACCCTGAGCCAAGGTCGTTGAAGATACCAGCTGAGACAGCGGCAGACACTAGGGCCAAAGCTTCGTTGCGCTAGATGGGACTAGGATTGAACATCGGCCACATATAAGAGCGGTGAAACGTACCTCCATGTTTGGCTTCCAGCTGCTTTCAAAAACAGCCATAGCTGCCAAGCTTCCGGAGCCCATGGTCACGTAAGGCAACTTGTCTGTAGACCCATGTGGATGGATGGTGAAAAGATGTGGCCCAGTAGAGTCAACTCCGCCAAGGACAAGAGCAGCTCCGACATGGCCCTGGTATCTGCGCATAGCACAAATAATAAGATATTGAATACTGAACACACTTGGGCTCACTGGAAAAGGTATTGCTTCAACATAGTCATCACAGTGACCACTCTTGGCTTTCTCCCAGTGGACAGAGCATGGAGCTCCATATTTGATGATATCGACGCGGTGGTAAACTCGGTGTCTGCAGCAGTACCTGCACCACAGCACCGGATCGATTCTGTTATGTAGTGGATCTGGGGATGCATATTAGATTAAGCAGAATGATATTGATCTCCAAGAGCGGACCTTTTCACAGTTCTTGTCTGCAATTATTTCGCCTTCTGTGGCACGCGTGTCGGCACCAAGGATAATGCCATCTTTGAAAAGACAGCCTACGATTGTGGTACCGGTGCTGGTAGCCTTTGGAAGGGGCATGCCCTTCTCCTGGAGGAAATTATTTCTATACGACTACTCAGACAATAGCCATATAAATAATATAATGTCTTGCTCACCTAACAGAGTTAGAAAAGTCGAATCCAGGAGAACTGAAGGCCGATTGTTGTGACATTGTGGAGGATAATCTTAAAGTTCGTAGACAAGCTTGCGCATTCGTGTTACGCGTCTGACTAGGACCCCTTGAACCTATTACCATATGTGAAAGTAATTGGCACCGCTGGGCGGCTCTAACTGCGTCAGAGACTCAGAGGTTCCACATCTTGAACGTTCGAACCCTTCGTCTCCCTAGTTCTTGTATCATTATCATCATTTTCAAGTCAACTATGGACGGCTGGAACAAATTCCAATCGAGTCTTTCCGGCCTAAACCTGGGGCAGTCCGCAAACAAGTTTGCAAAGGGCTTCAACTCCAGTGTTCAGGCAACCAGGGAGCGTTTAGGTCAAGTTGCCCCAGACGAAATTACGGAGTTGCCGCAAGGTAGGCCAGCTCTTTTATAATTTGGATACTGAATCTCAATATATATTTCAGAGTACAAGGATTTGGAGGCTCGCGTAGACGCGTTGCGTCAGGCACACCTAGCACTTCTCAAGTTCGTGCATTTCGTTTGTGTATTGGCTCAGCCCTGATATCTCACCTCAATCAGAGTAACCAAGGCCTATGAGAATGAGTCGTATGACTACCCGACCCAAATTCAAGAGTCTATTACTGAACTCTCGACCACCATTGGCCATGGTATTACAAACTTCGCTGCTACAAACCTGAAGGGCACCAATCTTCCTACGCCCTCACCTGTTGCCCCGCAAGTTTCCCAACACAAGACTCTCCCTCATGCTCTCTGTCGCGCTGCGACTAACGCCGCCGCCGCCATGCAACGCACCCCTGCTGGTGATGAAGATAAACTCGGTAAAGCACTAACCGTGTACGCAGATGTTTTCGACAACATTGCATCAGCTCGCGTTGAGCAAGACGAATCGATTCAGGCCCAATACCTCCGCCCGTGGCAGACGACGCTTTCAACGTCTATTAACGTCGCAATGAAAGCACGCCAAGCCGTTCGCGTCAGCAGACTTGAGTTGGATGCCGCTAAGCAGACGTCATTACTTTCACTAAGCTTTGGTCCTTCAAGTGCTTACACTTTTATCATACAGTCTGAAAACTACGAGTCCTGCTAAGCAAGAGCAGGCAAGGCTTGATGTCGAGAACGCAGAGGACGATCTCGTTCAGAAGACTGAGGTTGCCATTACCCTCATGAAGACAGTTCTTGAGAATGTATGTCACCAGTATTCGCTTTTTGAACACTTTGCCTTATTGTTTGTAGCCGGAACCTCTGAAGAATCTCAATGAACTTGTGAAAGCTCAGGTATGTGTCTTATGATACGAAGGTCGCGAGGTTTACCCTTTGTTTGCAGCTGCTTTACTTTGCAGCAGCAGCTGAAGCTCTCTCTTCCGCACAAGGCGAAATTGAAGAGCTCAGCGTCGCCGCGGAGGGAGAATATAGGTAATATTTCCCTCCCCTGTCAATGACATCGCTCATGTCTTGTTAGGAAGTCCCGTGACCACTGAATTACCCTTACATCAGATTCATGACATGTCGCATGTACATTCTCTGGTTAGGTAGTTTTATATTTAGCGCTACTGGTGTCCTTGTACGTCTCCGTATCGCAACACTATGCACAAACTGGCTTTGGACGTCATACTAGAGGTGTACTCGACTAATCAATGATTGAACTAGTCATTCAGACGGCGTCTAAACTTTTCCTTTTCCTGCCCCTTCTCCTAGTTCTTATTATTTACAATTTACAAGCGTGATTTACTCATGTGATGCATACATCCGATCAAGGTATTTCCTGATGTACATTGGAGCTAACATAATCTTACTACGTTGTAAGTACATGCATTTCTTATTCCCGGTGTCAATCACGAGCTTTCTATGTATTTGACTCCCAACTGGAATTCACCAGAGGACAAAGATGCGTCTCCACAATAAGGGTTGTCCATCGCTCACATGGATCGGCAGCAAATCGAAAATACGGTAGTACTTCGACGTCGTCCCATCACCATCGAATAAAAACGGCAACACAACAATAAATCCATTGAAGAATCATTCTACAATGGCGGTGTATGAATTAGTCCCAGTTATACAATACAATCCATGAATGTCAGATGGAGCAAATCACGCTTTCTCTCGTGTCTAATATCCCGACGGTCGTGTGCTCGACTTGGATGTATCGTAAGCACGAATGAGTTTTGCCTGATCTTGACGACCGTTCTCTGTCTGACTGAATGCAAACCCGCGGTTCCGGCGCATGCGCTGGACGGCGCGGACTTTTTTGATCGCTTTTTGGAATCTGGCATGATAAGGGGTTAAGCTTAAGCATCAACCAGCATATGCTATTTGAAGTGATACGCACTGTTCTTGACGCGGACGGTAGTCGGGAATGTTGTACTTTTGGAGCTCTTGAGCGATATGATATGGAAGAGGAATATATGTTCGTCGGTAGCTATATGAAAGGCGTCAGACAGTTACCCCGCTCAAGCGGGTGTGGACGTACTATTTCCAAATAAAGTCGCGGGTCAGGCAGACGACAGGAACAAGGATGAGGACAAAATAAAACACAGCATCAGTCCATAGACGAGGCACAAGTCCATAGTATTCGGTAGAGAATCCAATGGCAGGAGCAACAACGGCGTATAAAGGAAGGAAGAGCATAGTGAAAACGAACGACCCAGGAATCGCTGAGGAAAAGATGTCGGTTGGATGTCTGTTCATAGAGGAAGATTTGTGCTCACCAGCAACAGTGTATTTTGTCCACAAACTAGAATACGCATTAGTATACGAGGGTAAGACAAGAATAGGGACACGCACTCAGACACCAAAGCGGCTTTGCCAAGGACAGTGAGGAGAACAGCCAGGTAAAGCATGGCACCCCAAAACCAATGCCCGGAGTCCAAACCCGTCGCTTGCTTCAAATCTCCCCAAAACAAAATCACAGTGAACGTGAACAAAATCTAGAAACGCCATTATCATCATCACCATCACTGAATTTTGTGTCGTTTTGGAATGAGACTCACGAGACTGTGATAGAGCGCATTGCCTACCCAGAGCCAGAATGCTGTCTTGGTGAAGAAGACGTTCTTCTGCCCGAGTGCATATAGTTGTGGGTATCGGTCTAGAATTCGTGCAGATACGAACTGATCAAACACGCCGATGACGAGAGGGGGAAGAACGGTAAAGATGACGTTATAAAATGATATCGTCCATGATTCGTAGGCAATCTGCCCCGAGAAGTTATTGAAGAAGGAATACTACAAGGTGATATTAGCTAGACATTTGCGAGTGAACGGGCGGATGCGTACCCAAAACTGCGTCATGTAAAGCGTAATGTTCTTGTAAAACGAGTCTGGTCCTTAGTGATGAACATGCGTAAAACGGAGATAAACAAATATACGTACAAAGGATGAGTTTCGATAGTCTCTGATAACTCCACGCGCCATGAACCAGCAATAACTTCTTGAGAAATCTAAACTGTGAAATTGCCACATCCGCAGACCGCGCAGCTTGTAGACCCTATACAGATTGCTTTAAATACAAACGCAATGTCGCACGCCAATGATCACGTACCTCGACTCCAGAGATCCCCACGCCCACATGCGCTGCCTGGATCATGCTCACGTCGTTCGCACCGTCACCGATTGCCAAGAGAATGCTCTTCTGGTTCTTCTTGACAAGTTTGACGACAAGAGCTTTTTGAAGCGGAGATACTCTGCAACAGATGACTGCGCGACACATGAGCGCGAGCTCCAAAAACGACTTGGAAAGGTCTTTCTCAAGTGCGAAACCTAGGCTTTTGCCATCTGCAAAGGAAGGGCTTCAGAGGGTATGAATTGATTTCGTGCGCGCGCTGACCTATGACCAAAGCCAGATCTTCGAGCTCCCCCGTACTCCGCTGATTTTTGATCGCTGAAAGTCGCTTCTGGATAAAATCCGCAGTGTCACGCGAGTTGTCTTCGTTCACAATGACCTGTAGAGGTAGAATATTAGCACTAGAATATCTTCCCCGCATTCCCAACCTACCAAGTTCATAGACTCTGAGATCAACCGACAAGACATGCCGATATTGATCGCTGTCTCTTGTCTGTCACCCGTAAGCACCCAGATCTACGTACCACATCAGCATCGTAGACATAGACACCGTGATGAAATGTCTGTGACAAACACACCTTGATCCCGGCCATTTGTAACGTATGTATCGTATCTGGTACGCCGTCCTGGAGCTTATCCTCGATAGCTGTTGCCCCGAGCAAAAACATATCCTTCTCGATCAACTCCGCCGCACTGTCGAGGGCATCTGCGCGGCCGTTGATTGTTGCAGCTGCTTGCTCGTATATGGAGGCCCACTGCCGGTATTCGGCCTCCGGGACGTCACGGTATGCGATGCAAAGAGTGCGTAGGCCTTCAGTCGCGTAGTCCTGTGATTTGATTGGGTGAGCACAATGAACATTGGTAATACTGGAGGGGAAAGCAACAAACTTCAAGATGAATAAGCGTTTTCTCAGTGTACTGTTGCGCCTTGGCAAGACGCTCGAGGATGACGGTGTCTGCACCCTTGCAGAAAAGCTTGATTGAACCGCTGGGCGTGCGCACAATCGTCGACATACGTTTGCGCGTCGAGTTGAACTCGCATATGTTGAGAATCTCGTACTCGGCAGGAGCGTTGTTGATTGAAAGAAAGACAGAACGGGGTTTGCGAGTCTGCGGAAGGGTGGGTGAGCAGTGTGATTAAAGGGAGGCAGGGGTGCAGAGAAGGGGTTAGAAGAAATGTGTAAAACAGTATTTAAAAAGGAATGAGCGACCCACATGGAACTGATACCCCATCATCTCTGCCCCTGCCACTAACGCCGCCTCATCCGGACTACTGGCCTGATAATGCATCTTCCCATCTCTCACCTCCGGTATCACCGTATGGCACACCGCCAATAACACCATGAATTCTCTAGCTACATCCCGCTCTCTGTTCTCAATCGCCTCCGTACCGAATGGCTTCCCTGTGTCCTCGTGCAATAGCCCCCGCAGCTCCTCAAACGTTCTCGTACCCTCCTCCCCCTCCTCCCCACCCTCCTCCGCCAAGTCCGCATACGGAATCCCTGCAACTGAGCATTTCTTAAATTCCATCTCATTCCTCGTTAGCGTTCCCGTTTTATCGCTAAACACAAATTCGATCTGTCCGAGCTCTTCAACAAGCGAGCTTGTGCGGCAGAGCGCAGGCGTGTCGGAGGGCGCGTAGTACATGTCCAGATCGGCGTTGATGAGCTGGGCCTGTTGGAATTTGACAACTTCCATGGTAACGATAAGTGAAATGGGGATGAGGTTGTTGTAGAGGATGATAAAGGTGAGAATGTCTGGAGAGATTGAATGAGCAAGGGAGAGTAGGTAGAAAAAACAAATATGCCTGACCTTCGATAAATGCTTTTGCTGATCAAACGCGATCAGTCGGCGATCAGAGTAAGCTTCTCGGAAAGAGTTACTCACCTTTCCCGGTGAATGTGCTTGGCTCTGCTAAATACCATTGCTGACCGGACAGGAACCACTACAAAAGGTCTGTCAGCCCCTATCTATGATAAAGTAGATAGAACAAACACACTGTGTTGATGCTGGCGCCAATCGTACTCCCGAGTGAAAGGGCAAGGAGGAAGACGAAGAGGAAGATGATATGAGTGTTGACCTGGCGCTCGACTGCCGTACGTTTGATTGGCGCCGCGCTGTACCCGAGTTTAGCATTGCAGAACATCACAAAAATTTTCTGCGAACTAAAGCTCGAACAAGGTCGAACCGCTTACGTTGCATTTCGCATGAGCTTCGTCTCATGACCTGTGAACACTACGATCCCATACACCCACGGCGTATTCCTCAACTGCGCGCCCCTCAACAATATCTGATCAGGACCCAACGATACAGTCTTCGGTACATTCATATCGCTCAACAGTTCCAACGTTCCCTCATATGTGTACAATGAGTTATTTGGCTGTTCCGACCGCAATGTACCATGCAAAGCGCCTGCGAGGGATGGGGAGGTGAGCGAGTAGGTTTGTGGGGAAGCCTGTTTGATTTTGAGGTTGGTCTCGCTGAAGAGCGTATGTTAGGGAAAGAAGGAAAATAGAAGGAGGAACGCACCCGTCAAGATTAGAAGTCTCTATGTAACATAATCCCTCGGGCTCACTCGAGGATATGAGTACCAGGTCGGCCGGCATAAATTGATCTGACTCCACACGCACGATGTCGCCTACACGTAGGTCTTTCCATTTCCGTGCGGCGAAAGTGTTTCCGGAGAGGGCCTTACCAAGTCGTGCGTTGAGCTCGGAGTCAGATTGGTGTCGTTTCTGAGGTGAGGTGAGAACGGGTCAATGATTGGAGGAATAACGTACAAGGTCTTCCTGAACTTCTTTGAATGCGGAAGCGAGGAGGACCACGGCCAAGGGCGCGATGGTAGTGTACTGGTTCGTGGGGGATACACCTGGAATCTGTTGAATGCATGCTGTGAACAAAAAGAATAAATTGGCGTATTTCGAGAATTGTTCTACGAGAATGATGCATCAGTTGGTGTTTAGTGGTGTACGGGATACCGGTCGGGACAGACCAGTAAGAAACTTGGGAAGAAATGAGACCATGTTGTACTTGCTCGTTGAAACAAAGTTTGAGCAATAGTCGACATTCATAAGTGCGTTGTTGAGGGTGATTACACGCTCGCCAGTGAGTTCCTTGTCCCTCTGCCAGGGCCATTTCCACTTTCTGCGTCGCTTGAGCGGGCGCATGGGTATTGAGGGCTCTGCCGGGAAGGAAGGGGCAGGTAAAAACGCGGGGGACAGAGAGTTGTCGTCAAATGCCCAGCCTTGTGGTTGTCCGTTAGGTGTTGTTGCAAGCGAGGTAGAGGATGTTCCTATGCCAGCTGGGGGTGCAGCTGATCGAGCGAGAGGAAGACCGCTCTCCTGGGAGTGCATTGGTCTTTGAGCAGAGTACATAGTGAAGTTAGAATGAGAAGCGTCGTCGTCGTCGTCGTCAAAGAAGGGATCCATAAGATTTGGTTGTGGAGGATAACTAGACGATGTAATATTATTAGGATTAGAATCTGAATGGATGTATGGGTTGTTGGAGTCTCGCTGCCTGTATCCGGACGCTGCTGGATTGGCAGTATTGACCAACGCTGAAAACGATTCGTCACTATTCATTGTAGAACGGAGAGGGTGTAAGTTTAATCCTAACCGCAGTCAATACCCGACGTGTCTTGCACAACCAACCCGTACAAATATGGCTAAACCAACAGATTCACCAAGGCGATATAGTGTAGTGGTTATCACTCGGGATTTTGACATTCAAATATTCCCGAAACCCAGGTTCGAACCCTGGTATCGCCTCTTGTTTTTTTTTAATTCCCTCAGAGTTTGGACAGCTGCGTTTATTGCGCAGTTTATTTCGTAGTTTGTTTCTGTAGGTGGCGTGGTAACAAGTAACAAGCTGTGACTCACATGTGACTTGATCAGTGTCCACACCACCCCTTGCCAATGGTGAAATGGAAGAGTACTACAGCACAATACTGCGAGTGTAGGCTCAGCCACTCACTTTAGAGACTAGACACTGCGTAAGCCCTCAGTATGATGGAACAAACTGAGATTAAGTACCTAGACACTGCGTAAGCCTAAGCTATAGTCAGTATCTAGCGGCGGTTTGAGTATACGTAAAATGGCTTACCCTCAGTATGATGGAACAAACTGAGGGAAGATAAGAACGAGAAGCAGTATATATATAGGGTGGTTCAAATTCCAAAGTCTCGACTCCGCTTATCGCGACGTCATCGAGATGCGTCCATCAAGCATCAATACTGTTACAAGTAACATCGGTCACGTGGCCCCCCTATCATTTTCCCTTCATCCTCGCCCTCACCGCCTACCGGCTCGCCCTCCTTTACCGACTTTCCGTTGACCGGATCCTCGGGACCATTCCCGTCCCTCGCATCATCCGCCTCTATGCACGTGCACTGCACGTTCCTCTTCTGATTCGACCACCAATGTGGTCCCGCACCTCTGACTCGGTCTGACTCGTGCCACCAATGTGGCTTTCCTCTTTCTGTTTCCCCTGACTGCGGATTCCCGC